TGTGTAGAACATACTTTTCTATCGGTCGAGTATATGTTCAAATTCAAATGAGATACCTATTGAGTAATAGGCAATTTTGGACACAGCTAATATATTTTATTTAAATAATTCGAATAAATCACTGACTTATGCTGTCTTCAATTGTTTGAAAAACACAGATCATTGCATATCTTTTCTGCTGGAGATGCTGTTGTAAATATGTAAAATGTAAATCTTACTTATACGTTAGGAACAATATAATTTAAAATTGGATTTAAAACCTTTTTCCCAAACTGCGGTATACCTTGAAAATGGTTATCGTCCCATGCGTAGCAATAACTATAATCACCCTCATTTTTTTTTCATAATTCTGTTCTTCACCATGTACAAGGAATATTTACATGCATGACCTTCAGGTCAATATTTCATCCCAGTGCCATTTAAGCAAAGAGTTATGCATTCTTTGTTAACAAGGCTTAAAATGTTTACCTATCTTTTAAAAAATCTAAATTCTGTCGTTTTTTAAAAAATTTTCAGGCTTGGCCTGTGGAGAAAATATATATATATTTTTTATATTTAATTGTTTTCTGCTTTTGAGTACTGCAGGCTAAAATTATTAAAATTCTGTACTTTATAATTATGTGATTGTATTAGTAAAGACTTTAGAGAGTGATTTCTATGCATTAGGGTTGGGCATCTAAGCTATAATGCCGATCCGATACGCATCTCGATACAAAGAATACGATCCGATATATTAGAGATACATTTGTGACATATTGCGATGCAACACGATACGATTCACACACATATCACGATACGATGCGATATTTCAGCACTAACTAATTAGATCAAGTTTATGAGATGATGTGAAAGAGGATGCTGTGCCATTGAATGAGTTTGATTATTTATAAACCAAGCAAAACCAAGACTTTTTTTACAAACTGGCTTTTCTCTCAGAGCCAGAGTGTCAGTTTACAGTAGAGGGCCATTTTAGAAGATATAGCACATATTATTTAAGTATTTTCAAGATAAACAGAATGTATAAGTGCAATATATATTAAATATAAATATATATATATATATATATATATATATATATATATATATATATATATATATATATATATATATATATTTGCACTCTTTCAACATAAAGGTTTAGCATTGCACAACAAGAATTGTGATTTAACTTTTTAACTATGAAAACAAGTTTTACAAAGATATTTTGCCACTGATTATTCAAAACTTAAGGTCGTGAACTAGCAGTGTTATGCTGCTTTGAAACATCACTGTCACTGTAAACAACAGGCTAATAAAAATATAACAAACCAGCAATCTTCTTGCTGTGAGGTGGTCAAACTACCCACTGTGCCACCGTGACACCCATTATTTTTATCATTATTATTATTAATATTATTATTATTATTATTATTATTATAATTAAATAAAAATTAACAGGAGGAGGTGTTTAAAAGCTTCGTTCTCCGTGACACTAGGCTGAATATCTTTGCAGATGAACAATGCAATAGCATTCGTTATTGGCGTAGAGCGCACAAAACTGTTGCGCACGGAAAAAAAAACTTGCAATGCTTTTCTTACCACTTTTGGAGCTGGTTAAAGCAGTGCGAAAGCCGGGGATGCAGGAACACTGGAAGATGCTTTCACAACAACACTGTGGCGCCGCTTCAAGTGAGATTTCAGATTAGTCATACTGCCTGCGTATTTTACAGATGCACGGCACATTTTGCAAATTGCATCTGTAATGTCATGTCGTCCATCCTTAAATCCATAATGTTGCTTGCAATACTTTAGATTTAAAACTCAGTGGGGAATAAAATGTTTGTTTTGCTTCTCGCGCTTTCTGGGGGCGCTCCACTAGCTTCATCCGCACACCTGATACACTGAGTTGTAGTTTAAGTGTACACATCCGCAAATCCGTTGCTAAGGCTTACTTTATGTAGGTCGATTAAATTATGCGCCAAAAACAGGTTGACAACTCTTGTTAATAAATAAAAAATACATTCTATATTAAAAATATTGGCTGTATCTCGGAAAAATCGATGCATCTCGCAAAAACCGATGCATCTCGATTTGCTTCCAAAATTTCATTCATCCTCTGCTGCTCAACCGATGCACTCGCATCGTGCACGCGCCTGACCGCGTATCGATACATATCGGTTAGTCTTCCCATCCCTACTATGCATATAACGAAGAATACATTTACATTTACATTTAGTCATTTAGCAGCACTTTTATCCAAAGCGACTTACAAATGAGGACAAGGAAGCAATTTACACAACTAAGAGCAACAATGAATAAGTACTAAAGGCAAGTTTCAGGTCTGTAAAGTCTAAGAAGGGAAGTGTTAGTAGTTTTTTTTTTTTTTTCACATGAATATATGTGTATGGGGTAGTTTCTATTATATTCAATGCTGCAAAAAAATATTATTGCATCAAATTAGATTATTATTATTTTTTTTTAGAAAATTGTTTTATCCAAGACTAATAATAATAAACTAGCTCAGGCTTTAATATATGGCATAATAACAAATAAACGTCTCAATTTAAAATACATGTTTTAAATAAAAAAACAACAACATTAGTGTACAGTATATAAACAGGCTATAACTTAATGGGTTAAAATTCTTCAGATAAAATGTTGATATGAGACCAATAAAGATATCTATGTCAGTCTTAAAATATGAAAATATGATATTTTTGACATTGATATTTTTGTCATCTTTAGACCTGTGTGTAACTTGTTGAAATTGACGCACAAGAGTTAATGTTTAAAGTTGAATGCTGAAATTAGTCACGGCCTTGTTTAACATTTGACATATTTTCATACTTGAATGAATATTCCCCAACCTTTTAAGTTATTTCTGAGCATCTAATTATAAGGAAGTAGATGTTGTTTTCTCCAGAAATGTAGTTTGACAAAGTCATGCGCAGGTCACATGCGGCCGACTGTCTATTTTTATGAGCTTTAGACTTGTTCTCCCTTTTGTAACACTCCTAACGGATGTGCACAAATACAATTACACTGCTATTTTTTTCTTTTCTTCCTCTGTGATTAATTAACACTTTCCTTGTAAACCTGGAGACCAAAATAAAAGGGGCCGAGGAAGAGCAGGAAAGGAAAAACCTCTGCAAAGGAAAGGCTTCAGCAATGGCTTCATTGTTCCCTCAGCCTCATAACCCAGATTCAACAAGATTAAAAGATATGATCATCACAAGCCTGAGAATATCACAGTTATCACCTTATTTTTTCACATAGTTCATATAGTTGTGTGATTCATTCGGTATCGTACTGTATCTACAGTGGAATTCAGTTGTCTGAGCTGCATTATATGTGTATGGATATATATATAGAGAGAGAGAGAAACGATGAAGTTATATGAATAATAGTTTATTTTACTGATCATTTTAAGATCTGTACAATTGTTTTTAAAGTTGATGTTGTTTGTTTTGATGTATTTTGATTGATTTATATTTATTGCATTTGGGTATTTTAATTTTAGTTGGGTTTATATTTCAGTAGTTTTTCATTATTCTAAAATTTTCTCAATTTAGTTTTTATTTAAAAATTTTTGGAATATTATCTTGGTATTTTCCTGGCCCTCTTTATGAGATTCATGAGAGAAGTACATGTATTTTATTGTATTTTTGTTCTTCTATTGTATTTTACATCAAATGATTTACACAACAAATTGATAAAATTGACTAATTGATTGTTTTACTTACAAGGGTTATTAAATGCAAGTAAAATTTCCTTAGTTTTATTAAATAATATTATTATTATTACTTTTTTTATTTTCTTTGAATGAAAATAAATGTCAATTAAAGGTCAATCGCATTTAGCATAACTGTATATTTATATATTCAGGGCTCGACAATAAGGACTGCGTAATGGGCCGGCTCCGACAGTAGACAGGATTGTCTGTGGGTGTCAAAATTAAAGTGCACCTTTTCAGTTATAAAATATGTATTTAAAGTAAAGTTATGCTGAATAAAACGTGTATGTATACAATTATGTTTGGCCTTGACAATTTTTGTTAAATATGTGGCTAAGAAATAGGTAATTAATAGCTATTAACTTCTGGAAACTTGAAACTTCTTGATTAACTTCCAGTGAAAATTTTGGCATTGCAAGTAAAAATCTGAACCACTGGCCCTATTGGGCAAAATCCTTAGCGTTGAGCCCTGATATTTATATAAGAATCAAAATACCTGTATTAAAATAAGCACAAACTGTGTCGTATCATGTCATCAAATGATCCTTGTTGTAAATAGCTACATATTCAGGCAAATAAACTCTTGTTAGACTGAATGACGTATTATTGGATGTCTTCATCTATCCTCTGGATATATCATGATAGGGAGCAGGGGTGTCCAAATCTTTTCTTATGAAGGGCCAAAAACCAAACTTGATTGAGGGTGGTGGGCTGAAGCGAAATATATCGAACTGTATTACGTTGAAGTTGCCATGGCAACTTTCTAATTTAATAATATTTAAAGATATATAAAAAAAATACTTTAATTGTATTAATAATTACCATAAACAATCTCATTTATAGCTAATTTTTTTATTTATTTACGAAATAATATTTTTTCTCTCAATAGTGAATATGTGTTCTAATAGTGTTTTTAGCAGCATGCCACAAATATATATCTGTCAACATCTAAACAAAATGTGTTTTAGGGCTTCATGACCCTTTGTTTAATTTCAGTTTTGCTTTTTTTAGCAATTATACAAACAAAAATAAGGTTATGTATATTAGAAATGACGATTTCTCTTTGAGAGATTCTCCCCAACCTTCCCCATCATTTGTCTATTATTTGTCTCTGATTGATTAGCAGGCCAAATCAAGTAACTTGGGCCAACTTTGTCCCACGAGCCCTAGTTTGGGCATGTCTGATATAGAGTAAAAAAATACTAATAATTTTGCTCAAGAAAAAAAAACTATTTGGTTGGCTCCTTTGGAACAGTAATAAAATGACCCTTTTATTATTATTTTTTAGGCAATGGTGGCATGTTACCCTGGGAATGGGACAGGATATGTAAGGCATGTGGATAACCCTAATGGAGATGGGAGATGTGTCACATGCATATATTACCTGAATAAAGACTGGGATGCCACGGTAGGTGTTTTTTTTTTTTTTTCTGTGTGTGTTTGTTTTTTTGAAGTTCATAAACTTGTATATATTCTGTAGCGTGTAAAGCTGCACAAGATTAGTTTAAGCTCTCGTCTGTTTGTTTAGAGTTCTTATCTGATGTAGACGGCTCAAACTTGCATCTGAGCTTACGTTCAATACAATGGAAGTTCAAAACTGTCCTTGTGCAGGAAGTTTGCTGTAGGTGCTTTATATCAATAGGCCACACGAGAGATTGTTTATGTGCTGTTATTACAGGTCTGCTAAAACAAGAAAACTTGTGTGCGCATGGCTTTGTATATAAATACAAAATCTATTATTTTGTAATATTAATATGCATTTTCATGTACAGAGGGTGACAGTAGCTTGAGTCGAGATGCTGATGTAAAACTGTTTTTGTTAACAATAACAGTAACATCTGTACAAAATTTGGTAACATTGTCATTTCTGCATTTAAATTAACCATTGAAGTTTAATAGAATAAAACATTTGTAGATAATGATAACCACAGGTTAACAAGGTATAACACCATGATAAATGGTAATTATAAGGTTTCTGTGGTGTTTGTTAAAAAAAAGTAACCATAAATCCATTTAGTTATAAATGCAAATGCATAAAACTGCAGTAGTTAAGTAACAATAAAAGTTTATTTTTTTTAAACGAGGTTAATGTTGAGTTGCATTTTAGACACACATTCTGTCAGATTTTTTTCACTGACAAAATTACTTCCATATAAAGCCAAGGCAGATCATTTGTGCACGTTTCAGATCATCACTGCAATATTTTGTTCCTGAATTATTGTGTTTATGAATTCATTAAGGCAGTAATTCAGTTAATAATTTATAAAACCAGGGTTTTGCTGCTTATTAAATGAATCAGCTTTTGTGAATCAGTGAATCACTCATTAAATCAGCTACTGGAGGGTTTAGTGCCATATTTATTTATTCAATACAAAAAAATGTAGATGTGACTCTCTATAGAACAAACATGATTGATTTTATTTTATTTCATATTTTCACATTTATGAGAAAAAAGCCTCGGTATGGATTAGGGTTGTAACAATATACCGGTATGACGGTTTACCACGATTTGAACGTGCACGATTAACATACCATGAACAATTGCATATCAACGGTTTTAACCCTTAAAGACCGAGACAGCTGCCCGCGGCTAAAAATAAGTATTGCTCTTAAATGTTTAATAACTTTTGATCCGCTGATCTGATTCATACAATTCAAAGATTGGCATAAAGAAGAGAATCTCAGCTTTCCAGTGCTGTATAACATTCACATAACATTCGCGGACTTTCAGAGGCTCCGGAATCAGTGCGGTTACGTCATCAAAATTTGACAACGCTGATTTGACAAAGAAACGCTCGTCACTGTGTCTCCGGACAAACCAGACATGATACATTGATGCATTGTCCCTCCTCCATGCCCAGATTGGTTCAAACTCGCTATATTACAACTAATAAGCATAGGTTCCGCTTTTGTTTGTGGACCAACAAAGAGCTTTTTGAACAACACGGAATGAGAGAAAGGCATACATTTATGCGCGGCTAAATAAAACGCAAAAAAAAGTTTTGCATGAAATAATCCTCATACTAAGTACTTTTGCATGCACAGCAGCACAGAAACATGACAAAACAGTGACACAGCAAAGACGAACTGCTGCTCTTGCTGTTTTCAAAAGACGCAAATGAAGATGCAGCTGTTTGTCTGTATTGCAGACAACCATATCCAAATCCATATCCACAGACAACCATATCCATGCTGGCACATAAAACCTAAGGATGTTCCATATTGAATCTAGTTTAGTTATGTAACTATTTATAGTATAGTAAATATTTATATCTATTTTTTACTGAGGATTTGCACCATGTTTATTTGGACTTTATTTGGACTTTGACACATTATTTATTATTTTCTTATTTTTTATTTGTTCATTGTAAGTGGTGTTGTTTATAGTAACTAAAAATATATTATTTGGAAAGTCAAATTTGCTTTACTGTTCTATTATTTTGTAACATTTGTAACATACCGTATACCGCGAAACCGTCAAACCGTGGTATTGTTTTAGACGATTATCATACCGTAAAAAATTCATACCGTTACAACCCTAGTATGGATGTGAAATTGTTATTCGTGTGACTTTGGTAAATCAAATAAAATAGTTTTAAAACATTAACAGAGATATTTTTGAGTATTTCTAAAGTACTGTAAAACACTTGCATATATATATGTATATATATATATATATATATATATATATATATATATATATACACATACATATATAGAATTAGAATATTAAGAATATATAGAATATTTCTCAAATTATGTTTAATTATAGAGCAAGGACATTTTCAGAGTATGTCTGATTATATTTATTCTTCTGGAAAAAGTCTTATTTGGTTTTGTTTTTTCGGCTAGAGTAAAAGCAGTAAAAAAAAACATTTTTCATCATGGCAAAAATAATATAAGTCAGTCATTAGAAATGAGTTATTAAAACTATTATGTTTACAAATGTGCTAAAAAAAATCTTTTCTCCGTTAAACAGAAATTGGGGAAAAAAATAAACAGGGGGGCTAATAATTCTGAATTCAACTGTATGACTATTACTCAAACCATTGATTTCCCATTTATGCCTCAGTATCATTACGCTTCATGTTTCAACATTAAATCCATGATAAATGTTGGTGATTTGTGTATCACTGTGACATCGTGTTACTCTTGTGTCAGTGCTTTTAAGAATATTGAGCTGTTTCGTCTGGCCATAAAGGTTTAAATTACATGGAGATATTTGTAGTTTCAAAGAATTCTCAGCTCAACTTGAATGTTTTCTCACTGGATCTCATAGCACTGTTCAGTGGTTATGTGACTGTGACCAATCTGTGAGTAAATATATTTGCTTTAAGGTTGTGCTGTGCTGTTTTCCAAACTGAGCTCATAAATAGTCAGTGTGTCGCAGTATAATTAAATAGTAGATATCCATTACTGCCTTATTAGAGAAAATGACTGAAAATAAGAAGCAAAAAGGTATTGCTGTGCTGGTTTTTGTTTTCTCCAGCTATAATCACTGTGTGGCATAAAATGGCTTGCACACCGGACCTGGAAAACGCTGCACTATGAAACCCATTCATTTCACTATGCAAAGGCCAGTTTGTTGCTGCGTTGACCAAAGTGGAAGAGCAGCAGGGAGTGTTTAATTTGATTTTTTTCTAAATCTGTAAAATATAAGTTGAGTTAAATTCACAAAGTTTTACAAATGTATTATTTATTTAATAAAATAATAAATAAATATCACAAAGCATTTTTTGTTTTCAGTTTTCACCCAAGTGCATCTTGAATTGTCAGTTTCAGTGCATCCCTAATAAATAACACCTTTTGATGTGTTGGAGCGTAATGTTTTTCATATTCAACACCTCACAGGTTGCCAAAGATTTTGAGATGTTATTGTTACTGCAAAATTATAACAAGCAGGCTAAAACACTCCCAGATAGACAGATGAGCTGTCAGTCAGGAACACTCACTGCCTATCATTTGCACAAAAATGATGCCTATTAGCATTGTTTGATCGTTCAAATGATGAATATTCACTCATCATTTGTTTTTTTTTCTCATGTGGAGTCAAATCTTTGAGTTTTTGTCTTCTGTAGAACTTAAAAGAAGATATTTTAAACAACAATGCTGGTATAGAAAAAAACGATTTCTGCAAAATTGTTGCTAACAGTATGGGTTGAATTTAAACAAACAAATACAATTTTACTGAAAGTTTTCAACTTAATACTTTTAAATTTGTTCAACTTAATTTGTTCATTTAAATTTAGCCCAAATAAATAGTTTACAACCACTTGCCGTTAAAAAATTTTTGTAAATCCAAGGAATGATGTTTGAATCAGTTTTTAGTGTAGTTGGCAGTGGCACCTATTGACTTTCACAGTGGGAAAATAATGACATTGCAAGACAGAGGGTGTCAGCTTCCACCATTCTTCAGAATATCTTCTTTTGTGTTCAACAGAAGTGAAATTTGGCAGAATTTTCATTCCCTTGAACCTAAATATAGCCTAATAAATCCGAATCGAATCGTGCGTGGTATTTTCCTCCTGTCTTTAGGTTATGTGAAACATTTATTGTTGAATTTCCATGAACTGAAGACTGAAATCTTTCCAGCCCTTGACCGCCTCTGTCACCTGTCAGATCTGCGTCAGAGAGACGCTTCTTCTCCAGCACATTCCAACCAGCCGTGGAAACCATCCAGGATGTTCTTCATCTTATATGATGTCAATGGAAAAGAGAGAGTTGGCCAGTAGCTGGAGATATTTACAGCACTTTATCATTGGCACCCTTGGTAAAAACATAAATGAAGAAGGCTAGAAAACAGTGTGTTTATTGTTTAACCCTTTCATCATTTGCTCAAAATATTGTTTTTTTTTTGTCTTTTTAAAATCATTATGTGGTGATGTCAGATTATACCTTTTGAGACTTGCAAGACCTACAAGAATTAACTGCAAATCTCCAGCTGTGATTCTCCTGCTCCTGAACCTCCTGCTTACAGTTGTGTTGGGACAAGATTAACACACATCCTCTTCCTGACTGATACATAACATTGGAATTTTTTTATTATTTTCCTAATTGTGTAATTGTAATTGTGTAATTCCTAACAGTTTCATAGTGTTTCTGATATTTTCTCATAGCCAGATAACCATACCAGTATTGGAGTAACACATTACAAGTGACACAAGTAATGTAATAATATTTTATTTCTAAGTAAAGAGTAAAGTAATTTATTACTTAAAATAAAAAAAAGTAATAATACTTGAGTTACTTTTTTGAAAATGTAACTCAAGTTACTTTTTTGGTTAAATTAATTAGCTTTTAAAATATAAATTGCTGAATCAAAATTGCAGTATAGTCACAATGAATCACACTGTCAGTGAGAGAATGTGTTCATTAATTTTGAACGCATCGAAGAAAAGGAAAAGGGGATTATCTCAATGGATAGTTATTTTTCTTGAGACAAATAGAACAAAAGCAGCAAACAAATTGCTTTAAACTTTTAGCAATTGGTATACACTCACTGGTCACTTTATTAGGTACACCTTACTAGTACCGGGTTGGACCTCCTTTTGCCTTCAGAACTGTCTTAATCCTTTGTGGCATAGATTCAACAAGGTACTGGAAATATTCCTTAGAGATTTTGGTCCATATTGACATAATACCATCACGCAGTTGCTGCAAATTTGTCGGCTGCACATCTATGATGTGAATCTCCCGTTCCACCACATACCAAAGATGCTCTATTGGATTGAGTTCTGGTGACTGTGGAGGCCATTTTTGTTCAGTTAACTCAGGACAGTGTTCAAGAAATGAACTAAGATGGTTCTAGCTTTATGACACTGTGTGTTGTCCTGCTGGAAGCAGCCATCAGAAAATGGGTACACTGGTCATAAGGCATGGACATGGTCTGCAACAATACTCAGGTAGGCTGTGGCGTTGACATGATGTTCAATTGGTTCTAATGGGCAGAAAGTGTGCCAAGAAAATATCCCCCACACCATTACACCACCAGCACCGGCCTGAACCGTTAAACGAGGCAAAATGGATCCATGCTTTCATGTTGTTTACACCTAATTCTGCCCAATGAACTGCCACTTACTGGATATTTTCGATGTGTTTTTGGACCATTCTCTGTAAACCCTAGAAATGTTTGTGCATGAAAATTCCTGTAGATCAGCAGTTTATGAAAAACTCAGACCAGCCTGTCTGGCACCAAAATTCATGCCACGTTCAAAGTCACTCATATCCCCCTTCTTCCCCATTCTGATGCTCGGTTTGAACTGCAGCAGATCGTCTTGACCAGGTCTACATGCCTAAATGCATTGAGCAGCTAGCATGTAATTGGTTGATTAGAAATTTGTGTAAATGAGCAATTGGATTAATAAAGTGGCCGGTGAGTATTTACGACACATACAGCCATATTTTATGTGTTTTTAAAAGGTAAATGTAGGTGTAAGTTATACAGTGAGTTGTTAATTGCAGAGCTGCTTTATTAAAAAAGAAAAACACAAACATAGCATAAATAAATGTGTGTATATAAAATTGAAGTCAGAACTATTAGCCTTCCTGAATTATTAGCCCACTTGTATTTTTTGTTCCCCAAATTCTGTTTAACAAAGATTTTACCCATTTCTAAACATTAGGCAAGTAAGGGTAATTAGGCAAGTCGTTTACTTAGTCGTTAGATTAAACAATAAAGAAACAGTGTTTTCACAACCTTTTTGCCTTATGTTTACCAACAGTGCTAATGTTAGTGCGAGGAAAGAAGGATGTATTGCGATTTGCGGTGTTTAGTCTACTGTACTTTAAATACACAAGGGCAAGTCTTTTATATAGATACTGGACACAAGAATACAGTGTTTTCATCTCAGTGCTGTTTTCATTCATTCTTTCGTTTTGGTTGTGAGAATGTCAGATGTGTGATGTAACTGCACACACAACCCTGGTGTTTTCTGTTTTTCTCAAGTGGCACAGGAAGGCAGTAATACATGCTTTAAACTCCCGCTCTCTCTCTCACACTCATTTCAACCCTTCATTGAATGCAGAGGAAAATATCCGTCTCACGCAAACCTGCTTGTTCCCGGTTGTCTTGGCTTATGTAAAAGTCAGTGTGTCAAATATTTTTTTTCTTTAAGCTAAAATTAGCATCAGGTTGTCCTGGAGCAGGAAAAAAAAGACATTCCCTCCCAGAGTTTTCCCATCCAAACCATTCTGTGTGGTGTAAATAAAACTGTCAGTTTTGTGCTACAATTTGTGTTTGATTTATTGATTTATTTTTTTTGTATGTTTTGATGATCAATATTCCATTTATTTGTAAAAAGCTGTATGTAATATTGTGAAATATTGTTAGCGTTCTAACAGTTTGTTTTATTTTAATATATTTATTAGGGATTCACAAATACAGATTATTGGCCGATAACTGATAAATCTTTAGATTTTGAGGCCGATAACCAATATATTAGCTGATAATATATTGTAAATATTTGAAAATGTAATATTTTTATACAGTTAGCAACTGATTTCATTTTAAAAACTTTATAAAAGTTTGAACTGATCTTAGAGTAGCCTACTCAAAACAAAACAAACAAAAAAAACAAATAATTAAAAAATTGCAAGGTGATTATATTCACCTATATTCAAGCTTTCACATAAATTATCATGCTAAAAATAAATCCTTTCCTTTTCTTCACATAGCAAATTAACAAGCAAATTGACTGTTGCATAAAAATAATAGGTTTATTGACAACTGGATTTATAAACAAACAAGTTGTTGGCACTAGTGTTTTTTTTTTTTTTTTTTAATGTCGTTTTTTTTTTTTTTTTTGGTGATGGGATAATTGATAAAAACAGGTTTTGCTCTTCTATTCACGTCTTTAATAAATAAAACGTTAAAAGAATTTGTTTTGAGTTTTTTATTGTAATGAAAAGCAATCAATTTATTAAATCAAGAAACGTTAACTGAGTACACCTTTAAATATTGAAATACATATACATTGTTTGTGTTATTATATTTCAATTTAAATAAATCTGTATATTTCATTTTCTTTAACTTTGTGTTTTATTTATTTATTTAGATTTTATTCATTTTATTGAATTCATTTTTTATTTTATTTTAGTGAATCAGAATATGGGGCAAAATGTTAATGTCAGGATTTTAAGTTAAAACAGAGTTTTATAAATATATACAATTTAATTTATTAACTTTGTTTATCTATTTGACTTCTGTATTCTGGTCTTTTTGATGTTGTAGTTGAACAATTAGTCAGATATGAAAACTGAGTCATTTGCCGTGCTTGTAACCACTTACAAACAAATAGAAGTTGACTTACAGTAACTAAAACCGGTTTAGTTTCAGTATATGTAGCTATATGTCAAACTGTAAATTATAGTATTATATCTGCTTTGTCTCTTTAGGAACATGGTGGCCTTTTGCGGATCTTTCCAGAGGGAACAGCTCAGTTTGCAGACATTGAACCCAAGTTTGACAGACTTTTGCTGTTCTGGTCAGACAGAAGGAACCCGCATGAGGTCCAGCCAGCTTATGCCACAAGGTCAGTGAGAAGGAGACACAAGTCAGAATTATTAGCCCCTGCTGTATATTTTTTCAAATTTTTTGGTCTAACAGAGAGAAAAAAAATTCAACAATAGTTTTAATAATTAATTTTTAATAACTGAATTCTTTTCTCTTTGCAATGATGACAGTACATAATATTTTACTAGCTGTTTTTCAAAACTCTAGTATTAAGCTTAAAGTGCAATTTAAAGGTTAATTAGGTTAACTAGGCAGGTTAGTGTACTTAGGCAAGTCATTGTATAACAATAGTTTGTTCTGTGGACAATCAAAAAAATATCTAGCTTCAGGGGGCTAATAATTTTTACCTTAAATTTAAAAAAAAAAAAATACTTTTATTCTTGCCAAAAGAAAACAAATAAGACTTTCTCTAGAAGAAAAAATATATATATAGGAAATACTGCGTAAAAATTCCTGCCTGGGAAATATTTAAAAAGAAGAAAAAAATCACAGAAGGGCGAATCGTTTTGACTTCAGCTGTACATGCAAGAAAGCGTGTACCATGTAGCCATGTACCTGTCAGTTTTCAGATTTTGGGCTTTTTAGCTTTCCATAAAGTATTTATTCAGAAAATAAGCAAAACCACACATGGAAGTGAAGATTTCATTGACCTATTTTAAAGGCTGTTTTCTAAAAAATGCCATAAATCTCCACTTCAGCAGCTCTTAAAGTTACTTTTTATATATATCTGTATTCTGAAGGTTTTACTGAAGGATTTGTTTTACATAATTTTGTCTTGCAATAATGATTTTTGATTCCCAAAATCCCATTGAGTCTTGTATATCAAAAAATGAAACATTTTGAACTTGACTTCATTGGATTTTCATATTTGATGGCGTGTATTTCAAGAAATATTGCTTCATTTTCATATTTAAACATTCAATTTTAGAAAATTTGGAGTAGAAAAATGTTTGTAATTCTTAATGTAGTCAACTGGGGACTATGCTATTATCATTATTATTATTTTATTACCGTATTATTATTATTTTTTACCATATTGGCTTATGTCTTTTGAAACCTGTCACTGCTTGTGTTTATATCCAGTTGTGCGTGATGTTTGTGTGCAGGTATGCTATAACGGTGTGGTATTTTGATGCTGATGAGCGAGCTCGAGCTAAAGAGAAATATTCAACAAGTGAGTATTTTTTGTATTGTTTAAATTAATGTAAACTTAAAGCGAAACAAAAAATAACTTTTTTGTTGTTTTATGCAAAGAAAAAAATACGTTTCAATGTTTTTTTACTTGCACAATAAACAGCTCGCTTGATATATTTTAATGGATGAAAAGTTGTGTGTATTTTGGATTGTTTTATAGAAAAAAAAGTATTGTATTGCCTGAGGAGAATTATATTTTTAACAGTAAAAATAATTCATGTGTAATAAAACTGTAATGTTGTGAAAAATAACAATGTAATAGAACTTTTTCAGTTTTTTGCATTTTAAATGTCTTTTTTTCCCCAAAATACTTCAAAGTTGAATTTTCATCATTAAGCCAGTCTTTAGTCTTTAGTGTCACAGGATTTTTCTGTAAATTATTTTAATATGCAGATTTGGTGCTCAAAATATATCATGTTTTTGTCAGTATACACTTTATTATTTTTTCAGATTTCTATAAATTAAAATCTCAAAAGAATAGCAATGTGTTTACAAAAACAATATATTTGTAACAATATTTAAGTCCCTAATGTTTCTTTTAATCAGTGGGCTCTGCACAGATACAGATTTAAAGCCAATGATAAACTTCCGGTGAAAGTTTATTGTGACTATTTTCAGTTTCACAAGGTCGTTTTTACAGCATCGATGTTGTAATGTAATTACAATACATTCAGTTAAATAGAAATAAGCATTAATTTAGTTGTTCAAGCAGAAAACTAGATGAAAGACCACTAGCGCCATCAGTAGCAACAGGCTTGCACATAAATTTCATTGAAAATACTGGGGTAAAATAAACTGTCATTATTTAAAGATACGGAGAGGGCAAATGGAATTTAATGCAGTGCTTCTTGTCCAGTCTGAGACCCACTTCATATCATATATCTAACAGGGAGTGAAGATCGCTGATTTTTAAAGAAATCGGATCTTAAACGTGACAATTTTGTAATGACCATTGGGTTGCCTGGCCGAAAATTAAAAGTCTGTGTACAAATAGCCCATTTAATGTTACATTGCTGAATCAAAGTATTATTCATTATTTAAAAAAACAATAATCTTCCTCCCAACAATGCCACCATTTCTATTTCAAATGTTAAAATAATGAACCACACTAATATTCTTCTTCTAATAACATATCTTGATTATTAAGGGGGGCATAAACTGCCTCTGTTTTTATTACCACTAATTTATATCCTCTTTCAAATTAAAATTAAAATAATTGCCTACTTTTTCTTCAGTACGCTGTTTAAATAGACTGTAAAGTAAATGCCTACTGGCCTGGGGTGCGTTTCCCAAACAACGACCTAACTTGTGGCTGAACTATAAAACAACGATGTAGTGAATAGTGTTTTCCAAAACCCATAGATTCTTTGTCGCAGATCCATCATGTGAACCACATTAGTTATAACATAAAACGCCCATAATGATGGCCTAAATGTGGTGGAGTAACAACTACTTTAGAGAAAAAACGCATATTTGCTTTGTGCAAATTATATTGTGTTACATGCACACGCATTTAAAAAAAAATCCAATATCAGTTTTGGTAAAAACATGCCCTCGTTTTCCATATTATTTGAAATATATGTCAACAGCACATGTAGGGTCTGTGTTTTCTTTACAAATATTATTGAGAACATTACATATTGTGTTCTAAAACATAAAATCACTTACAAAAGCTAACACGTACAGTATTCTAATGTCATATATAAATCATATAAATAAATAAATAATGAGGCTATTTATTAAGAAATAAAATTTAGTTTTATTTATAAGGGAATGAAAAAAATCCTACTTTAATAATAATATCAATATTAATGATGATGATGATGCTTATTATTATTATTATTATTATTATTAAGTATGATATATATTTTTTTCTTTTTTTTTTTTATTATCTACTTTTACAATATGACACATGCACACCACTGCAGAATTGTGCTAACCAACAGGCCCATGTCATATACAGTGCAGATATTTCATAAATAACCTACTATAAATTAAAAGCGTTAACATGCGCTATGTTTTTTGTTTTCACAAGCTTTGGAGACGTAAAAGCAATGTAAAATAATAGGTCACCTATAGCTTTTGTCATGAGTTCCATCATAACAGATGGAATCTGCGTACGATTTTTGCTATTTCTGCAGAGAATTTTGGTAAAAGTCTTCGGATTAATGCGGAATTATTTTGGGAGTATCAGAACTAAAACCTTAATATATGAAATAAAAATTATATCTTTTTAAACTTTTATTTAATGTTTAAAATGCAAATCCAATTAGATTCACTTTATTTGCTAAATAAAGCAAGTTTGTCATATATTATATCTAGTAAAAGACAGAAAATATTACTTTAAAAACTGCATTGTACATAAATCAGATAACCGTTTTCACATTAGTCAATATTATTACTAAATTAAGTATAAAAAACTGAATAAACATAGATTTACACACATTTACTCATGTAAATGAACAGAATTAATGATGGGCTAAAAATCTGCGGAATTCTGCGCACGCAGATTACGGGTGGGCCTACTCATGAGCCACGACTGTGTATAAAATGACTGGGAATAGAACACAGCCAGGAACTATGTTTCTAACCACAGCTCTGCGACGCAGTTTGCGAATGTTCGTTGGAACAATAGATTTTTGAAACGCCAAATCAATGAACTATGTTTGCATCAACGCAACTTGCGACTTTAGTTGCCTAACCATGGTTTTCGGAAACGCACCCCTGATTAGTTAGTTTAGCTAGCCACGTTACGTGCCTTGCCTGTAGATGTGCATTCATACCTCTGTGTGCTGTTTGTGTTCCTTTTGCAATAACACTTCCGAAACGCTAGCTGACAGTAGGTTTATATTTTCCTCTGTGTTGCGTTTCTTCGTGGGTGCTTTGTTTTTTCTAAGCGCTACCTTAATGTAGAAGTAGCTCAATCTCCCTCATTCAGGTGGGAACTGGCGGACATGCAACAACTTTTAATCATAAGGTAAACACAAATCAAAAGTTTCCAACTGTAGCTTTTTCACGGGACTCCACACTTGTAAACAATCACTCCATCGGCCCACGCCACAATGATATCAAGCCGACAGAGCTTATGCTACGTTGCGACGTGTAATTACGTTTTTTGAGAGGTGCAAATGCTAATACATGAGGGATCTATGTTCTGGAGGCGGGGCTTATTAACCCTATTACATCATAAAGTTAAACATTACAAAACCTGTTGTTTTTAATACTGGCTTCAATATAATCTGTTTTTAGAGTAACAATATAGATCTGAGTTCTACAACTTCTGGGATGTTTTTTATAGCCCTCTGACCTCTTAAAGGTCACAAAATCATGCAAATTTTGGTTTGGCAGATTATGACCCCTTTAAGCAGACCTATAATACGCCATTCTTTCCGTCTCTTAGGTTCAGGAGAAAGGGGTGTAAAAGTGGAACTAAACAAGCCATCTGAGCCGAGCTAGTGATCATGGAGGACTGAATGAAGTGGAGTGACTGCCGGGGTCAGACCTGCTGCTGAGAGATGATGAAAGTGAAGAAGAGGAAGACCATCATGAAATCACTTCCTCTACGCTTCACCTCTCCATCCATCATCTACAATGGGGCTTCTCATAAAGACTCGGACTGTGATAGAGCTGCGAAAGACAGACGTGCATTAATACATGCTTTGTGTTTCCTTAATGAAGAAAGCTGGCTTACATGAGCATTACATGGACAAAGCGCTAAACCTGTGTGTGTTTGCGCATTCCCATTCAATACAGGTTTATTTTTGAGCTACGACTCCTCCAGTTTCCCTCGTCAGCTTTGCACATTCGTTAATAAAGGTACATTTATGTTTGTCAAGTGCATACTCGGAAAAATAAGCTGTCCGTTCGGTGTTATTCTGCTCATAAGCCACTGTAATGATCAGGTTTGTGTTTATCGTATGGTTGTATTTCCAGGCTCTTCTTAATTGGAGTTTTCCGGAACGTGCTTCTTTCTTTATCATGGCTTGCCACCTGTTTGCGTTGTTAATCGGGGTGCCATGGCTGGATTGTTTTTTGCAAGTAAATCTGCGTTATGTCTGTTGTTGCAGACGTCATGTCCCTACTGTCGTAAGCCAAAATTGACACCTAATGTCTGTCTAACAGCTCTGAGTTTTAATTAAAGAAGCAGTTTTCCTAAATATATCTTGTTTTGGATGGTTGTGAGTGTTACGTTATTATCTGTACTCTCTTTTTGGAGGGGTTTGTTTCGAGTCCTGCAGCACCCTCTAGCGGTTGGCAGCAGCAAATGCAGTTTTTATCATGAATATTGTCACCATGAACCGTTTGACCATGCAAAAGCCCTAATTTGTGTGTGTGTGTGTGTGTGTGTGTGTGTGTGTGTGTGTGTGTGTGTGTGTGTGTGTGTGTGTGTGTGTGTGTGTGTGTGTGTGTGTGTGTGTGTGTGTGTGTGTGTGTGTGTGTGTGTGTGTGATTTAAAAATAAAAAATCATCTTCGAGATGGTAGCTTTTAGGATGACATTTTCAGATATAGGTTAAACATGTTGCATTGACTTTCAGCATAATATATTTATGGCAAAATTTAAATTAGACAACGCTTATTCTGACCTTATTAAAATATATAGCTGAATATGTAATCATAAAACTTGTAATTAACATTATATATGAAATGAATAAACTTGTTTAATAATGGTTAAACTTACAGGTATGAAGGATTGTGGCAAAGTATATTAATAAAGATAATTCATTAGTATTTTAATGTCATTAAATAGTTTTTTTCTAAATATGACAGTTGTTTTGAATGTATATTGTAACACTAAATAAGAAAGTAAATGTCATAATAATTATTTATTTAAAATAGATAATCATTCATTGTGATGCAAAATAATTCAGAATATAATAATATAATTAATAAAATTATAATTTATTTATAATAATATATATGTATGTATATATATGTATATATATATATATATATATATATATATATATATATGTATGTATGTATGTATATATATATATATATATATATATATATATATATAGTAGCCACCCTTTTAAATTTTTTTTTTTTTTTTTTGCCAAATGATGTTTAACAGGAAAGAAATTTTCACAGTATGTCTGATCTTTTTTTTTCTTCTGGAGAAAGTCTTATTTGTTTTATTTCGGCTAGAATAAAAGCACTTTTTGATGTATAAAAAAAATACATCATAGATAGATAGATAGATAGATAGATAGATAGATAGATAGATAGATAGATAGATAGATAGATAGATAGATAGATAGATAGATAGATAGATAGATTTTAAGGTCAAAATGATTAGCCCCTTAAAGCTATAACTTTTTTGATAGTCTACAGAACAAACCATCATTATACAATAACTTGCCTAATTACCCTAGCCTGTCTAGTTAATTAACCTAGTTAAGCCTTTAAATGTAACTTAAAGCTAAATAGAAGTGTCTTGAAAAATATCTGGTCAAATATTATGTACTATCATCATGGCAAAGATAAAATAAATCAGTTATTAGAGATGAATTATTAAAACTATTATGCCTAGAAATGTGTTGAAAAAATCTCTCTCTGCGTTAAACAGAAATTGGAGACAAAATAAAGGGGAGCAAATAATTCTGACTTCAACTGTATGTATGTATGTGTATATGTATATATATATATATATATATATATATATATATATATATATATATATATATATATATATATATATATATATATATATATGTATATGTATATATATGTGTGTGTGTGTGTGTACATATACATATATATATATAAATACATACACACATACAGTGCTCATCATATATAAGTACACCCCTCACAAATCTATTTTCTAAATTCATATTTTTAAAAGTAAGCTATACCATATTACATTTGTGCATATACATTAGATTATTCAGTCCTGAAGCCAAATCTGGAGCTTATTTAACAAAATAACTTACGATAACGCTCCAAGAACTAGTACACTCAAATTTATATGTTAGGGAAAAATATTAAACAAAAAAAGAGGAGAAAAAAAAGAGAAGAGAAGCAAAAAAGTGAAAAATGTAGTTATTATTTTGTTGGCTGTAATTTGCTGTTTTTTTTTTTTGTTTTTTTTTGGCAATATTTTGCTTGAATTTTATTATATTATCCTTTAATATCCTTCAGTTTGGTGTCTAAAATATTATTTTAATAAATATATCTGTTTAATAAATCTGTTTTGTTTAAATGCACCAAAATACATTGCTTATATTCACTGAGAAATAAATACTAATATTCATTTTCAAAATGTGGTTTACTCAATTATAATGAGCACTGTATCTAGTTAATTTATCTTAAATATTAAATTACAATATCTGCTTTGATTAATAAGGCTATTCAGTATTAAAATACATTGATCTCAAAACTTTTCTTGTTTAATGATATTACACACTGTTTTGATCAAATAAATGCAGCCTGAGTGAGTAGAGTCTTTCAACAAATGTATATTAAAATCATATTACAAGTAGCATTACCCCAACGCATCCAGCGTCTTGAAATTCATGCAAATCCTGCAGTTTTGGATCATACCGTTTTCTCTAGACTCAGAAAAAAAAACATTAAGGGATAAAGTGCAAACAGGCCTAAAGGTCTTTCAGATACTCCGACGCTGCTCTAGTAATTGAGGATTTGATCCATGTGGGAGAGAAAAGATTAGTGTTAATGACTACAAGCCTTAATTAGCCACTTTATTAACTGACTTTGAAATAATCCACTTTAATGAGCAACACAAAGTTCAACCGGGACATTAGATCGCACATTCATCCACACGCTGAATGCCTGATCTCTTAGTGACTGAATAGAAGATTAAAATAGTAGTATTTTGGGAGTGCACTGTGATCCTTGAAATGGAGTTGTTTAATGTTTCATCAGAGTAATCTTGTTTTAAATTTGCCTTACTTTATAGTATATAAACTGTTAATGGGAATTTATTTTATTACATTTCAACATTAATAACAATATTACAAATATTAATATTAATGCTTTTCTCACCATTTACTCACACTCAATTGACTCTATAGACTTCTATGAATTACACAAAGAAGAAAGAAATTCAGTTTTTAAAACATTTTTTTCAGTAATATTTTAAAGCAGTGGTTCTCAAAGTGGAGGTCGGGACCCTCCGAGGGGTCGCAGGACAATGAAGGGGGGTTGCCTGGTGATTTGCAAAATTCTATATATTTTTTTATTAAACCATGAGAATTACCCAATTTTATTCAATTCACTTTTATTTGTATAGCGCTTTTACAATGCAGATTGTGTCAAAGCAGCTTCACATAAAAGATCATAGGAAATTGAAACAGTGTAGTCCAGTATTCAGTGATTCAAGTTCAGTTCAGCGTGGTCTAGTCACTACTGAGGGCCCAAACCCTAAACAGCAAATCCATCGATGCGCAGCTCCACCGATCCCAAAACCACGCAAGCCAGTGGCGACAGCGGAGAGAAAAAAAACTTCACCAATTGGCGAGGATGAAGAAAAAAAAAAAACCTTGAGAGACTCCGTTTATCCTTAACCTACTGAAGAGACAAAAAATAGTCGTTTATAGTTACTGAATATATACATATATATATATATTTATATATATATATATATATATATATATATATATATATATATATATATATATATATATATATATATATATATATATATATATTTATTTATATATATATACTATTATAGCCTAGTTACCAGTTCTATTGGATTGCGACCCCTGGGGTAATTACATTATATTATAGGCAGCAATAGTGTCAAAAGCAGCAGATTGACATTTTATGACACCAGGTTAAACTTTCTGGCACATTTGCAGCACTGAAATACATTAAAAATGTTTGTACCATTGCATGCAAGGTTTCTGTATTTACAATCACCTCAGAGGATATCGGGGATCGCGTCTAAAGACATGTGGTATAGGCTAAATTGTCCGTAATGTATGTTTGTGAATGTGAGAGTTTATGGGTGTTTCCTAGTGATAAGTTGCTGCTGGAAGGGCATCCGCTGCTTAAAAGATATGCTGGATAAGTTGGCGGTTCATTCTGCTGTGGTGACCCCTGATTAATAAAGGGACTAAGCCAAAGGACAATGAATAATCATAGGTTTTGAAGCATTTTTGATAGATTGCGGTAAAAAAATGATTGCATTTTTATCATTTGTGGCTGCCAAAATACTTGAAATGAGTTAGATAAATCACTTGTTTTATTTAAAGGCTGGTGGAGAAACAAAATAACCATATATTAATAATTAGGGATTGCAGAGTTGTGATTTGTTTACATTTGTAAACACATGAGCATGTTGAAACTTACTTAGTATAACTTGATAAATCAGTATATATATATGTGTGTGTGTGTGCTTGTGTGTGTGTGTGTGTGTGTGTGTGTGTGTGTGCGTGTGCGTGTGTGTGTGCGTGTGTGTGTGCGTGTGCGTGTGTGTTCAACCAAAGAAACTCAAACATGTTTGGAACAAATGAAGGGAGAATAAATGATGACAGATTTTTAATTTTGGGTGAACTATTCCTTTAAAGGGCTGGTTCAGAGTGTATTTTTAAGGCTTGGTTGTATTTATAAGATGCAATGTAATGTGTGCTCATGCTTCACTTGTAGAAAATCAAGTTATTTTTTCATATATCCTAATTTGATTATACAGCTACTCAGCTAACATGAAAACAACTGTCTTATTTTCTTGGTCCTCTGAAGGCCTGCCCTCTGATTTGTCAGCTAACAAAATGTGCTGTGATTCGCAGATCAGCTCCACATCACCAGGAAGAGTCTCTGTTATAAAATTACAGTGCCTCTGGCCACCTTTGTTGCACGGGATGTAACCTGTGCGTAACCTGAAGGGTTTTTTGACATCATTAACCCGGATGTATTTTTTTGTAGTCCCCAAACTTTGTTCGCTGTAGGCTTCACTAAGCTAACCCTGTAAAAGCCAAGGTCTCCCTTTGCATTGAACTTTGAGCATCTTACATTCAGAGATGTTGTTTATGTTCACACAGCTACATTACACATCAAATAAAGTTAAAATATGATATCTTAGTGGACCACCCCTTTAAATCAGAGATGCCCAAACTAGGGCCCGCTGGCCCATGGCAACCTTTGATTTGGCCCGTCATCTCATTTGAGAAGAGAGTTTGAATGATAGGAATGGTTTCGAGATTGACAATTCAAATGTAATGTTACTCTTCCCTTTGTTTGTTTGTTTGTTTGTTTGTTTGTTTGTTTTATTCTTAAAGGCAAACTGAAACTAAATGTTTCAATTAAATGGTGTAAATTAATCAGATTTAGTTTAAATGTACATACTGTCACCTGACAATGGGGGGCTTTGGTGAGCAAATCAAGTCAAATGCAGATTCTGCTTATTCAGCATAACTCCACTGTTATAAATGTGATTGTTTTTATTGCAATAGGTTCTCATTTTAAAAAGTTAGACTGCATTAGTAATAAGATTTAAAGCAATGTTTTATCTTTATTTTTAAACATTATGAAGTAAATTAGGAAATTAGCCTACTTGATCATGACTAAAACTCAAAAAGTTCAGGTAACTCAAACCATTTGAGGAAAATCAATTGCAAAAACTATTCAAGTTCAAAAAATAATGCTAATGAGTACTGTGATCTTAATCCATTTGAGTTAACAAAACAATTTGAGCACAGTAAAACCCAATAAATGAAGAGAACTCAAACCAACTGAGTACTGTAAAACCCAATAAGTTAGGGCAACTCAAACCGTTTGAGGAAACCGATTGCTACAAACCATTTGAGTTAAAAAAAAAAAACTAATCTACATGACTACTGTGAACTTACACTATTTAAGTGTAATTAATGAGGTATTTAATTAACTCATTACCTTCAACACTAAGGACAAAACTCCTTTCAAATGAGTATAATTTACTTTTAGTCCATTTTGAGTAAACTACACTCATTTCATTTGATAAAGTTGACTGATGGGTTTTTACAGTGCACAAATATAGTTTAGTATATTTACGATGATGATATTTGGTATTGTGGGTGGGGCTTTTCTAGAAATTTATAACGCTAAAACAAATATTTGTTTTCAGTTAAAAAAAATCAACCACTCAACCACAAGTGTATGTGTTCATCATTATCCTTGCCGATGAAACATTGATAAATGTTTGCCCAATCTCGTCAGGAGCTTTAAGTTTGAAAAACTGCAGTATGAGTCTCTTGTTGTGTCGCTTTGGTTCTGGCTTCACCCCGGCCACGGCTTTCTCATTGATCACATCTAGAGCTGCAGCTTTTCGGTGAGTGAAAGAAATGCCAATTTAAGTCTATCATGAGTTTGTCATCGCAGTTTGACGCGTGTAACTTAGACCATAAACCAAGCTCCCGTTTCTTTTTTTAGTTTCAGATGCATATACATGTTTTTTAAGGGAGACATCTCAAAAGTAACTCTTAATTGTTTAACTTTTTTCCGCACAGTTCTGCAACTTGTTGTTGTCCTGCAAGTTTGCATTTCGCCTAAACGTGCTGTTGTATTTTGTGTTTTGTAGTTTTTCTAGCACAATGGCCTCAGTTGAATTCATCAAAGACCTTTGTACTCCAGCGCTGGTCGTTGACCTGGATAAAGTGAAGAGAAACGCTGAAGGAATGAAGGAGCGATGCCAGAAACTACAAGTCCAGCTGAGACCTCACATGAAAACACACAAAACACTGTAAGAGACTCGTGTCAACAACAACACCAGAAACTTTCTGACGCAAAAGTCATCTTATAAGCTTTGTCTTGTTTATATCTTGATTTAAAGTATTTAGACACTGAAAAAAGATTAGTCAACAAACAAAATCTAAAACACACCATCAGTTTTACCATTTTGCAAAATGGAAACTTAAAACGACTAAACTTTTTTTTTAATTCTTTTTGAGCAAAATATTTAATTAAAAGATCAGTTTGAAATGTTTGAATAATTGATATTAGGTAAAAAAAAAATATATATATATATATATATATATATATATATATATACATACATACAACAAAAGCTAGGACATTTGCTCATCAAAGAAAGCATTAATGCTTGCACTTATTTTACGGTACATGTTCTTAATCTGTACTTACAGTGTACTTACCTAAGAAAGTACTGGATTACATAAGGTAACTACATGGCCTAAGGTTAAGTTCAGGGGTAGGTTTAGGGATATTACCTAGCTAAGTTTATGTAATGACCATGATAAGAGCATAATGCATACACTAGCTTTAGATCAACTAGCTTGGGGTCAACAATATTTTAAAAAGAAGCAGAACAGGCTTATTTTAGACACGAAGAGTTTAGGTGAGTTTAGGAGTTCTGTACCTCCTATGTTCATATTCAGTCATTTCACCCTAAACACAGTTAAAAGAACCTTATCTTTGTTATTAAAATGAAATAACTAAACGTACACACTCAAGAAATGCTCATTATATAAAAAAATACATTTCAGGCGGCACTTAGAGGCTTTTGCATCTGAACTTTTCAGACATTTTGTATTATTACTATTCATTCATTCATTTTCCTTCGGCGTAGTCCCTTATTTATCAGGGGTTGCCACCATGGAATGAACCGCCAACTATTTCGATTTATGTTTTATGCAGTGGATGCCCTTCCAGCTGCAACCCAGTATTGGGAAACACCCATACACTCTCACGTTCACAGACACATACTCATACACTATGATCAGTTTTGTTTACCCAGTTCACCTAGTGCACATATCTTTGGACTGTGGAGGATACCCACGCGAACATGGGGAGAACATGCAAACTTCCTCACAGAAATGCCAACTGGTGCAGCTGGGACTCGAACCAGTGATCTTTTTGCACCCCCATCCCCTGCGGTCTCTTTAAAAGAGGGTATCCAATGAATAGAAGCCAACAAAAACTAAACAAAAGTACAGCATCAAGAATGAGAGATCAATAGAGTACAGTTATAGAAAATAAGGCAATGACTTTCCAACCATTTATAAAACTGTACCAATCCCAAAGGTTTGACTGTTTGTGTAGTTCATCTGTCTGTCTGTTGGTTTTAGGGAATGTGCGGACATCATGACAGGAGGCTCTCGTCGCTGTATCGTGGTGTCAACTCTTGCTGAGGCCTCTTTCTATGCTGATAACGGTTATGATGATATACTGTACGCATATCCTCTGCCGTTTGATAAAGTGGAGCGTTGTGCTGAGCTGTCTGAGAGACTCTCTCTGTTCCACGTGCTGCTGGACAACACTCTGGCCCTGCAGGAGCTGAAGAAGAGGCCGCTGAAGCAGGGAAAAGTCTGGAGCGTCTGGATGAAGCTGGACTGTGACAACGGAAGAGGTAAATGATTTACTATATGAACATCTGCTTGTGCTGTCTATTAATAATAATAAAATAAAATCATCTATGGTAAGTGTTTTTCTTATTTTGCATCTCAGTTGTTGCCAGTTTTAAACATTCTTCAAAATGTCTTACTTTGTGTTAATAGATTGTGATTATGTTTCTAATATAGAAACTCTGAAACCACCTGAGGATGAGGAAATATTGAGTATTTTTTATTTATTTTTGCATGAATTAATTAAATTAAATTTTTTTTTTTTTAAATGTAGAAAATGTTGTTTTTAAATAATTTATTAATTTAATGATATTAAAATAAACAAATACAAATATTTTTCTGCTATAATAAATTCTAATTTAGACTGAAAAACAAGGTCAGGGTGCTAATATTTAGTCTTGCAAAAAAATAAAAAACCTCAGCAAATATTCTGACTCTGATTGGCTGTTGTCATTTTCATCTCTTGTCTTGACTCCCGGCATTAGTATTAGTATGCATACTCCAGCCAATATCAGTGTCACACCTGTTGCAGTGCCCTCTTTTGGACACTTGAGGGCACTAGCTTGTTGTGTAGTTTAACTTAATTTCCTATAATCCTTTGCACTTCTGATTGTTTTCTGTTACAGCTGTTTCTTGTTTGTTAATTTAGCGCTGTCTTTGTAAACTTTTTTGTCTTGTGTTTTAGTTGCCTTAGGATTTTGTTTATCCCTCGTGTCTGGTATGTTTGTTTGTTTGTTAATCTAGTTTTGCGTTTGCTTATTCTTGGATTCTTGTTTGTTTTTGTTAGCATTCCTGCCCTGTTTTTGTATTTGCTTATTTTAGTTTTTTTTTTGTCAGTTTGTCAAGTAAATATCTTGTTAAAAAAACAATTTACATATCTTACAATATATGGCTTCTATATAGAGGCATTCTGTGTCTAATTTAACACAACTGAGTCAGAACTGACAGTTGTTAATGGGATGTGGTCAATCCAAGCTCCGCCCTTTTTTTTTTGTCAGTTTCGTCTGGACTCATTTCTAGATATTTGTATATTGCTTAAAGTTCCTGTTCAAGATTAAGATAATCCTTTGTTTTTTCCAAATAAGTTGCTGCACATGGATTTTTGTAGTTTGTGATTCTCCATCTTGTGACATGAATACAAAAACAGGGCAGGAATGCTAACGAAAACAATCAGAAATCCAAGAATAAGCAAATGCAAAACTAGATCACCAGACATGAGGGACAAACAAAATCCTAGGGCAACTCAAACACCAGACAAATGGGTTTATAAAGACCGGGCTAAATTAACAAACAAGAAACAGCTGTAACAGAATACAATCAGAAGTGCAAAGGATTATAGGAAATAAAGTTAAAGGGCACCTAGGTTACCCCTTTTTTCAGATTTAATATAAGTCTTTTGCGTCTCTAGAATGTGTATATAAAGTTTCAGATCAAAATACCCATCAGATTTTTCATTATACCTTTTACAAGATGCTATCTTATACTGATTTCCAGCAGGGGGTGGTTTTGTCGTACTGCGCCTTTAAGCTTTTTCTTTCCCGCCCACTGTTTCTACATGCCTCCTCCCTCAGCTGCGTCAGACAACAGACAGACTTAAAGGAAGGAGGTCTCACATAGCGTTTGTGAGAAACTACAGTAAGAACTAACCTTTACTAATCAGTATTGTGAAGTTGCATTGATGAGTCACACACAATATCGTTACAAAGTTAACGCGCGCGCGCACACACACAAACACACACACACACCGCAGATGATACACACACACGCAGGCAGGCAGACAGACAGAGCGCGCTTAGCCTAGTTAAGGCTAACCTCAAGTGTGGATATCTGTTATGCTAATGTACAAAATAAACCTGATTTAACTTCCACAAACCGGGATTGAAGCGTCTTCTTTTATAATTGTTCTGACACGCGGCTGTGCTGATGAAGTAAAGTTGAAGTAAAACGCTGTAATTAATTACACACATACTCTGTTTTAAAACACTTCAAACATGTGAAACTCACTCTTAATCACATTTGATGATGATTGCTGATCCTAGCGAACAAAACAGAGCTTTTATTCCCGGTTGCTTTGCGTATGTCTGCCTGGTCTTGTTGACATATACACGCGACTACCGGAACATGTTAATGCGCGCAGCTGTCAATCAATTCGGTGGGCGGGGGGGATCGCACACCTACGTAATGGTGCGATCGATTTGAAAACAGCTCCAATTGGCCGACCCTTTTTTTTGTAGTTAAATTGAAAAAAAAGGACTGGGTGTGTTCATATCACCCCAGTATGACGGTCTATACACTATACCAACACACAGATCTGTCCAAACAGCTTGAAAAGTAGATTTTTTACCATAGGTGCCCTTTAAACTACAAAACAAGCCAGTGCCCTCAAGTGTCCAAAAGAGGGCACTCCAACAGATATGACAATCAGAGCAGCAACAACTAAAGAGGTGGGGATAAAGATAATCTGATTGGTCAATTCTAAATAACCAATGCATAAAATAAATGTAGTTTATCACACATTCCTGCATTACATGTATTTCACATACTATTATTACGATAACGATAATTTAGTGATTATAATGTGCAGACTGAAACATGTAAACTTAAAAAAAAAGTAAATATCTTGTTAAAAAAACTATTTACATATCTTACAATATATGGCTTCTATATAGAGGCATTCTATGTCTAATTTAACACAACTGAGTCAGAACAGACAGTTGTTAATGGGATGTGGTCAATCCAAGCTCCGCCCCTGCATTTGTTTTTAAAGAACTAATCACGTCATTTTGACAGCACTAATGTTTGATTGTGGCGACGCAGTGGCACAGTAGGTAGTGCTGTCCCCTCACAGCAAGAAGGTCGCTGGGTTGCTGGTTTGAGCCTCGGCTCAGTTGGCGTTTCTGTGTGGCGTTTGCACTTTCTCCCTGCGTTCACGTGGGTTTCCTCCGGGTGCTCCGGTTTCTTCCCCCCACAGTCCAAAGACATGTGGTACAGGTGGATTGGGTAGGCTAAATTGTCCGTAGTGTATGAGTGTGTGTGTGAATGTGTATGTGGATGTTTCCCAGTGATGGGTTGTGGCTTGAAGGGCATCCGCTGCGTAAAAATGTGCTGGATAAGTAGGCGGAACATTCCGCTGTGGCGACCTCAGATTAATAAAGGGACTAAGCCGACAAGAAAATTAGTGAATGAATAATGCTTGCTTGTGTAAAGCTGAGATGTTTTTGTTGTTGTTTTGTCAGCGGGTGTTCCTCACTATGAGCCAGCAGCGCTGCAGCTCGCTCAGGAGATCTGGCAGACGGAGGGGGTGGAGCTGACCGGTGTTTACGCCCATTGTGGAAACACCTACAGCTGTCAGGGGGAGGAGCAAATCAAAGCCGTCGCCCAGCAAACCACTACAGTCACACTCCAGTTCATGGACAAGTATGCTTACATCAGATAATGCTCACTTAGTATTCATCTTTAAAATTGATTGATTATTATTTACTAATGCTAATAAATGTCATTTATGCAATAATCAACTTACAAATAATAAATACATATTTATTTATATAGTGTTTTATAATATAATAATAATTCAGTTTTTAAACTAACTGATTTGACTATCTTTTAGATTTTTTAATTACATGACATTCACTTTTAACCCTTTACTGGTCACTCATTGACATACTAGACTATTATTGAAGGTTATTACAGGACTTAAACTGTCTATGACTTAATCAAGGTCAATGAACTTACCATATATGGTTCATCATTATTATTAATAATTAAATAAGAATACAAGTTTTTATGTTGCACATTATAAAATTGAGGTTTACTCACTGTTATGATTCACAGGATTTGGTTTTGTAGTGTTTTATTTGTAATTTATTCTAAACATTTTAATTTTTTAATGTTTTTTTATTTATTTAGACAACAGAGCATATAAAAACTAATTATATAACAAGACTAATAAAGCAATAAATACATATTCACTAATCTAAACAACATGCAATATAATTTTTAATTATTGCAATAAAAAGATCTTTCTTGTAATGAGACTTGTAAAGAGATTATCTTCTAATGTTTTAATATTTTAATATAAATTCTTCCCTTCTCCAAATACACGACTTAAGTCTTGTCATCGATCCCCCGGTTGTAAGAGCAACAGATAATAACTTGACCTCTACTTATTCATTGGGAAATGTAGCAGAAGGTAGATTTTTCGATGAATCATCTGTTGAACTGCATCTCAATCATCACATATACTGCAGAAGACCTATTGGAACCCGCATGAACCCAAATTGTCAAAGAAATCAGTCGAATTTGGTGAAGGAAATATCATGGTTTGGGGTTACATTCAGTTTGGGGGCGCGCAAGAGATCTGCAGAGTGGATGGCAACATCAACAGACTGGTATCAAGACATTTGTGCTACCTATTACATTACAAACCACAGGAGAGGGCAAATTTCAGCAGAATAGCGCTCCATCTCATACTTCAGCTTCCACATCAAAGTTCCTGAAAGCAAAGATGGTCAAGTTGCTCCAGGATTGGCCAGCCCAGTCACCAGAAATGAACATTATTAAGCATGTCAGGGGTAAGATATAGGAGGATGCATTGAAGATGAATCCAAAGAATCCTGATGAACTCTGGGAGTCTGGCAAGAACGCTTTCTTTGCCATTCCAAATTATTTTATTAATAAGTTAATTGAGTCATTGCAGAGACGTATGGATGCAGTCGCCCAAGTTCATGGGAGTCATACACAATATTAATTCTGTTTCCACTGCATCATGACTTTGTATTCTATACTGTACATTATTTTTGTAAGTGACAAGACTTTTGTCTAAGCAAAGTCATACCTTATTGTCTTAATTAAATAATTAAAAATCAAGGCATGATCATATTTTATTTTGGTAAAATAAACGTCATCTAGAGGCCTTTGCCTTTCATATAAGCTGCTTCAGATACCAAATGATCAACTAGAAGTCAAGTTACTATTTGTTGTTCCTAAAACTTGAATAGGCGACAATACTTTTGTCAGGTAGTGTACATTAACTGCTTTATTTCTACTAACTCTACAGACTGAAGGCTGCAGGAATACACAGTACCAAATCCAGCATTGGCTCTACCCCTTCCTGCAGTCACCCAGTGCCAGACATGGCCAAGCTGAGTGAGGTGCATCCTGGGAACTACGTATTCTATGGTCAGTGTTGTCATGTGGTCTTGTTTAATTGTTTTTATCAGTTTTGTTTATAATGATATTACCATCTGTTGTCATGCAGATGTTCAGCAGTCCCTCATTGGGTCGTGTAGGCTTGAGGATGTGGCAGTCCGGGTGTTAACGCGGGTCATCGGGCATTACCCCCGCCGAAACCAGTTACTAGTGGACTGTGGCTGGACAGCACTGAGTCATGATGGAGGGGGGCGGTTGCCTACAGGATACGCCATTATTGAAGGGCATCCAGAGCTCAAGTGAGAGAGTGGAGATTTTTTAAGGGCAGATATTTAATAGGGGCTGCATGGTGGCACAGTGGGTTGCAAGTCCGCCTCACAGCAAGAAGGTCACTGGTTTGAGCTTCGGCTGGGTCAGTTGGCGTTTCTGTGTGGAGTTTGCATGTGTGCATGTGTGGAGTAAACAAAACTGGCCGTAGTGTATGAGTGTGTGTGTTAATGTAAGAGTGTATGGGTGTTTCCCTGAACTGGGTTGCCGCTGGAAGAGCATCCGCCGCGTAAAACATGCTGGAATAGTTGGCGGTTCATTCCGCTGTGGCGATACATCAAAGACTAAGCCTAAGGAATATGAATGAATGGATTGACAATCATCATAAAAACATGTTTCAATCCATCCTCAAATGTCAAAAACCAAGCACCGATGTTACATAATCATTATTATTGTGTGTGTGTCCATGTTTAGATGTTTTGTTTTTTTCATCACACAGTGGGAGTGGGAGGTTTTGTGAGGCAGCTGATATAAATAGCATGAAGGGTGTCGTCTGTTTTCAGACTCCTGTCTATGACTCAGGAACACGGCAGGGTGGAGCCCGTCTCTGGAAAGCTGGACTTCAAGCAGTTCCCGCTGGGGTCCCTGCTCACCCTCATGCCTTACCACGTGAGTTACAGTACTAACACTCTCAAAGCATAGCTGCTGCTCTGAAATTATTATTATTATTGATGCATCCTGCAGATTTAATGTATATAAAAATATAAATATTGCATAAATAATAATTAAAATGTGCTGTCAGTACACTACTAAAATTTGCACAACACGTACAGTAAGTTGTTGTACAGTAAGATCGATCTAATGCTTAGTTTATTTATCAGTCACATAGTCTGTTTGGAAAGTCACTTGAGCTTTTATTGAATATCCCAGAATTTATTTCATATATGTTTTCCTATCATGGTTTATTTTTATTTATTTTTTATTGATTTTATTTAATTTTTTCTTTATTAGATTCGTCTTAGGTCAGACAATAAAATATACATTATATATATATATATATATATATATACCTGTATATATACACACACACACGCACTGATACAATTCACCAAACAAGAAATTATCAGGAAAACGTAATTATACACTAAACTATTATATAAATAATAAGGTGAAATACCTAGTATATACACAAAAATAAACAACATAGGTTAACATAAAAAATAAAAAAACAAGAATAAATAAATATTTCCCAGAGATAGGTTGCAGCTGGAAGGGCATCCGCTGCATAAAACATATGCTGAATAAGTTGGCAGTTCATTCCGCTGTGGCGACCCCAGATTAATAAAGGGACTAAGCCGAAAAGAAAATTATTGAATATTCCATTCGGAGAGCATGTAAAAAATCAAAAACCCATTGACAATAAGAAGGGGGAGCTGCTGACTTCTAATTCATAAGAATAAGACTAGACTAACAGCCTGTAATTATTGAATCTAACCTTATTCTAGCAGGATTTTAAACAGTGCTGTTAAGGGGTTTGAGTCTATTGATAATGAAAAAACTGCAGAAAAACACCTAATCCCCCAAAAATCAGACAGTTTCTAACAAGAAAAGTATGTAAAGTATGTAACAGTGTGGCGGGTTGGGTTGTGCAGCGAAGGCAAGTATGCTCAAGATCAATGAAAATATAAGTCAGTTTAGTTCTAGACTAGTGTATTCTGTGCTTGACCTTGAATTGAATGAGAGCATGCCTAGCATTTATTGATGATAAATGTGTTTGTGCAAGAATAAGATATTTGCCATCATGCTTTATTCTAAGTGTGTAATACTGGTAACTGATGTATAGGCTGACTATTGCAAATCTTGATATGAAACATAGATACAAAAAGTAAAAAATATTTATTTTAAAACATTTACGGTAGAGAGCAATCGATCTTTCCTCAATATTGCAACAGAAACCAAACAGGTAAACCTATACTTTTGGAATGGCTCATTTTTAGTGTTATCTGACAACAATTTTATCTGGAGAGACTTTAAAGGACATATGTTTAAATGTGAATCCTTCAAAAATGCTACAAGTTTTTTTTCTAATAAAAAGTAAACATTAAAAAAACGTTTTAGATTTTTAAGTTGTGTATTAGTTATTGCTGATGATGTCTTTTTATTGTTGTAATTTTTTATAGAAATGTGGTAAATTTGATCTGGTTTTACCCTGAAAGCACCATAGAAGCTGATATGGCAATATATTCATTTTTACAAGCTGGATATGACACAATTAGCAGGTCATCGGCATCTTAAATCCTTGAAAGTTTTTAATATTTAAATTTTTTTAATGTATGCACATTTATGTATGTATTATAATAATAATAATAATTCCTTACATTTATATAGCGCTTTTCTGGGCACTCAAAGCGCTTTACACACAATGGGGGGAATCTCCTCATCCACCACAAGTGTGCAGCATCCACCTGGATGACGCGACGGCAGCCATTTTGCGCCAGACCGCACACCACACACCAGCTGATTGGTGGAGAGGAGACAGCGATGAAGCCAATTGGCTATGGGGATGGTTAGGAGGCCATGATGGACAAAGGCCAGTGGGCAGATTTGGCCTGGATGCCGGGGTTAAACCCCTACTCTTTTCGAAATACATCCTGGGATTTTTAACGACCAGAGAGTCGGGACCTCGGTTTAACGTCTCATCCGAAAGACAGATTATATAAAGATTATATCATCTTTGCATCAAATTACAAAAAAAAAAAAGAATTATTGCTTATGCAAGGTGTTTTAATGCACTGTTATAGTAGCGGGACAGTACATTTAACGTTATTCTCTTTTTTTTGGCTGGCGTTATTCTGTTTTTTTTTTTTTTTCTGAAAGTCTTAATAACACTATTGTTGAGTTTTTCTTTATTTATCTATGCAAATAGGATTGTAAAAATATCTTTGTTTTCTCCTATTCACTCCGTTCTAAGTTTGCTCAACTATGACGACTTCTGCTGCTGAGAAACCCAAAAATGGGTTCCCCCCTCCCTTAAAATTTTGTAAATCTACTGAAATATTGTCATGTAGGTTTTAAATATTTTGTTAACAGGTTTTATTTTTCCTTTGTTCATGCATAACTATTCAATCTAGCCATTAACACCCATACAATTACCAACAATCCATCTCGAAAAAAAAGCTTTTAAGTTTTTATTTAAATGCTTTGAATTATTTTCTTTACATAACATTTGTTTTAAAAGCTCTTCATTTATTTACTGCTAAGGAAACTGACCTGACCTTTTTTGTTTATCAAATTATTATTAAATGTATTCAATTATACGAGTCTAATGAAAATCTATTCCAACTAGGATATTTGAAAAATGTCCTTAGCATTTAGTCCTGTATAAATCAAAGAATTTAATCCTATTAAAATGTCCTAAAAAGTATTTTAGTGCACTTTTTAGTGCAGAAACCTTGTGTGTGTTACCACAATGTGCATAACTTCCAAATAAGAATATATCTCGACACAAAGCTACAGTCAGTCTCAGCACAAACTTTGTTTATATTGCAGTAAGCCCATATTTATAAAGGGGATTGGAATAAAGGCTTGATAGTGGGCCTGTATGCCCTCTATCAATGCTGGCAAATGCATTCGCCATTGTTATGCCTCAATGATGACTGAAGAACAGGTTGGAGTGCATTAAATCGAAACATTTGTGTGCTTTTGTCGACAGGCTTGTGCCACCGCCATGATGCATCCGGTTTATTTTGTCCACTCTAAAGGGAAAATTGTGGACACGTGGAAACCCACTCGAGGCTGGTAACAATCCCTAACACAGAAACACTGCTCCAGCTGCTTTATAACGCAGGTGTCTGTAAGAAACTAACCGTAAGAGCTTGCTGATTCTGAGCCAAATGCATTATGGGCAGTTCTGTCCTTGAGGAGCACTTGTTCTTGAAAATGTAATATTTCAGCAAAAAAGGCTTTGTGTAAACTAGAATGCTCACATCGAGAATTACAGTCTTCGTTTTAGATGTTTTTTTTTTCTGTGTAACACACATACACAAGGGCACACAATTACAATCTCTGCACACTCATGAAAGACTGTGAAAAGACTGTGATTTGGTCTTTGTATCTGAATGATCTTGCATGCGGGATGTTTTATGTGCTCCAAAAGAGCTTTGGAAGGATCTGAAATGTCTGAATTTGTGCTTTTCACTTCTCGCACTTCACATAAAGCCACAGCGAAGGTGTTTAAAGATCAGATTCTCTGATGGCTTTTTCATATATTTGCCTTTTATGTTCCCAGTTGATGAATTCACTTTAGAAGTACAATAAAAGCAGACTGATGATAATAAAACAAGCTTTCTATTAAAGGATGTTTTTTTTAATGATAGTCCCTTTTCACACGCTCGCTTTTGTGAACTTGTGATGTACAGGAGATTGTAAGTGATTCAGTGCTCCAGTGTACTCACAATGAGTCATTCATTTTTATTCGGCTTAGTTCCTTATTTATCAGGGGTCACCACAGCGGAATGAACCGCCAACTATTCCGTCATCATGTGTTTTACAGAGCGGATGCCCTTCCTTTATCTTGCCATAACTAATAAAAATACTTTTCCATCTGACTTCATATCATGCAATCTTTCTATCGCTGACACTGGAACTGGTTTGATGGTAGGTGGCACAGGGCCCGCCTTCATTTATGTGCAAAATGTGATTGGATGTTGATTTTGTTCTTCAGAATATGCTATGATATGATTGGCTACCATTTCATTCATTCATTTTCCTTTATTTTAGTCTCTAATTCAGAGGTCACCACAGCGGAATGAACTGCCAGCTATTCCAGCATAAGTTTTACAAAGCATATGCCCTTCCAGCTGGCAGGCCAGGACTAGGAAACACCCATACACTCTCACATTCACACATACACTCATACACTATGGCCAATTTAGTTCATCCAATTCCCCTATAGCGCAAGTCTTTGGACTGTAGGGGAAACCGGAGCACTTGGTGGAAACCGGGTCTGTATCAACGCACAAAAACTTTGCGAATGCCAGGTTTCACGCTTGCATTTGGATTTACTAACGATGAAATTAACGTGAGAATGTGCGTTAGTCCGTGCCAACTTCATGCCTGGCGTACGCGCATTTCTTGTGTGTCTTTGTTTTATTTCCATTGGCGACTCCTCCTAGAGGCAATTATGTTAAATTGCACACTACAAAGTATCTTTGAGCCGTGCAATGGCAGCTGTATGGGACGGGATCATCCGCATGTCTAGCAGGTATATAAGGTTTCCATACCATGCAGTTGACCAGCCAAACGTTAAAGCACAATTTGCAGGGGTCGCCGATTTTCCCAATGTAACTGGAGCGATCGACTGCGCACATTGCTATAAAGTCGCCATCTGAAGACAAATTTGCATTCGTGAATCGGAAACATTTTCATTCAATAAATGTGCAAATAATATGTGATGCTCCAATGCGCTACAGGTTATTGTATTGAAGCAGGGTTGGAACTAAACTGTGGCCCTCCAGGAACTGAGTTTGACACACCCCTGTACGAAACAAACGATATGGTCATTGGCAAGTCTTAAAATTTGGAAGATAGAACCTCAGAGGAATAACATCACATGACATCTCACATTAAATCATTATTTATTTAATAATTTTAAAGACATGAGCGAAAAGCCTTGGGTGACACACTTAGGAGTGTGTGAGTTTTAGTTTTTTTGCACAGCCCTCGCCACAGCATTTCAGTCGGGATGAGCTCTGGACTTTGACAGGAGGATTGCAACACTTTGATAATTTTTTTCAGCTTCAGTTCTGTTGTAGATTTACTGATGTGCTTGGGATTGTTGCCTTGTTGCATAAACCAATTTTGGCTCTGCTTTAGCTGTGCAACAGGCATTGTGTTTACACATACCCCTGAAGGCCCCAGACTAACAAACTGATCAAACTTCTGCTGATGATCAATAAAGACATTTAATTAGCAGTACTTTACTTATTTTTGCTAATGTTGTGTTGTTGTTCATCTGAAAATGTATTTTGCAAATTATAAGCACATCATGATTTTGCAAGGCACGATGTGATCCTGGATTAACACCTTTGTTGGTCCTGAAACAGCATTTTTGTTCAAAAATGTAGTCCAGATCTATTCCTTACTCTGAACCCAACCATAACTGTAAATTATTCCCAAAGTCAGAAGAGAATAATAGTTGGATAACACTCATGTAGAAGAGCATAAACCTAGCATAAACAGTAAACATATTCCTTAATTCTGATTGGCGGATTGGAATGTTTTTCCAGGATCAACATAGATGTTAATTTTGTATCAGATCATTTTGTATGCCTTGATATGGAAGAATTGGAATTTCAAATGGTGCCCCAAGCAGACTGTAGATCTGGCTATATGAGACTGCTGTTTGAATGAATCTCTTCTTTACATGACACGTAGACATAAATGTACAGAATGTCATTCGAAGCTTTTGTTTCACGTGTCAAAACAATGCAAAATTACCTTCAGTCATAGAAGAATGTGGATAAATGTTTAAGTTTGACATTTTTAAATAAGTTTATACAAGGGGTCGGGCAGTGGCACAGTGGCCTCGCAGCACTGTCACTGTCGCCTCGCAGCAAGTGAGGCGCAGTGGCACTGTCGCCTCGCAGCAAGAAGGTTGCTTTTTCGAGCCCCGGATGGGTCAGTTGGCATTTCTGTGTGGAGTGTACATGTTCTCCTCGTGCTGGCATGGGTTTCGTCTGGGTGCTCCGGTTTCCCCCACAAGTCTAAAGATGCACTATAGGTGAATTGGGTATGCTAAATTGTTTGAGTGTATGAGTGTGAATGAGAGTGTATGGGTGTTTACCAGTGATAGGTTGCAGGAAGGGAATCCGTGTGTAAATGATATGCTGGATAAATTGATGGTTTATTCCTCTGTGGTGACCCGAGATCAATAATTATTTAAAGTAAAGTGGACTAAGCCAATCGAAAGTCATTTGATGTAACTAACCTATAGTCGTTTTTTCAGAATAAATTATCCAAATTTAACAGGGTGGCATGATGGGTGGGACAGTGGCTCGTGTGTCTCCCTGTGCTTTGGTTTCTCCCACTTTCCCATATGTTATAGACCATTTTGGGGATGTAAACAAAAAGGAAGGTCTTAACGCATTTTCTGTTTTACATTTTTCATTTCTATAGCTTCCGAGAATCCAAAAAGAGCCACATATGATAGACATGATAGCTGTTTTAACATTAAGTTATGATTGAATTGCCTTTTGTTAGAGTTATGAAATAGCTTGATAGGTTGAAGCAGGAGATGTCTATGGGCTAATGATATGACCACATTGAAATTGTCTATAGGTGAACTGCATATAGTAAACTGACCACAGAGAGTATGTGTGTGATTGTCAAGATGTTTCCCAGCACTGGATGTTCACAGGTTGGTTCCCTCTTGACTTTTCCAGACTTTTTTTCCATGGTGACTCCTGCCCTAACAAAGAAGGTAATACGCTGAAAGTGATTGAGTAAATGTTTAATTATAAACAATTATATATTAATTATTATAAACAAGTGACAAATCTTAAAAACTGAAAATAACTTTTTTCCCAAAATCTTCAAACATTTTTTCATCTCTTTTAACCAAAAATCGATAATGAAATTTTCATCTGTCAAAATTTGTAACCCTGGGATTATCCTATGTTAAATGGTGTAATTTGAGAGTAAACTCTGAGATCCACAATATTTCACCAAGGTCCAGTGACTGAACATTTCTGGCCTCTTTTTAATGCACTTTGAAGCAGTGCAGTGGAATTTACACCCAGTACCATGTTTTGATGGGAACTCGAAGTTTAATCTGTCAGTGCTCATTCCTGAGTGCCTTTTTCAAACAGGTTTGACTTTTTTCATCGACGGCGCGTGACATCTCAAGCTCGGGTCACCTACTCACCTGACCAATTGAGTCGCTCTGATCGAGCCCACGACGCGACGCACCAATAGCAGCGCAGCTCGATATTCACCGCTGAGGTCACCGCTCACCGTACTGCGCTCCCATTGGCCAGCCGCGGCGAGGGCTCGATCAGAGCGACTCAATTGGTCAGGTAAATAGCTGCAAGTTGGCAGGAAGAGAGCCAGAGAGAGGAGATACACGATGATGTCAACACGGCAGTGATCCGTTCGGTTTGGCAGACGCAAGGCCTTTTTTTAACCCATCGATTCCTCGATATTAATAGTAGCGGTCCGGGGGGATTGTGGAAGTAATGTTGAGCTTGATCTCGGAGGTGGTCGTGCTGTCGGCTCTGTCCTTTAAGGCGCATTGCAGCTTTGCTCAAGGACTCTAGTGATCATCTGCAGCATCCGGAGGAGTCCAGATCCTACTGGTATGTAATTCAGAACCACACCATTCATGCAACCTGTGTGTGTTAGCATTAATGAGGCTATTTAAATACATCGGAATCACTCAGGGCACGAGGACGACGCTGCTTGTGTTGTAATTAGGCCGAGTGCTTATTAAATCTAATTATTGTGGTCGTTTAAAAGTTGACTACAACGTGCTCTGTATTTTGCAGTGATGGTTTGTACAAGCCGTTCAGACTTGAATTATGTTCCATTGACCAAATATATGACTTTTATCTCGTATCTATCTATCTATCTATCTATCTATCTATCTATCTATCTATCTATCTATCTATCTATCTATCTATCTATCCCTATGTATCATGGTTTTAATGTAGGCTTTCTTGAAGTGATGTTAAATGGTTAATAAGCTTGTTAACCTTTTATGTTGTGTGCTAACGCCTCTATTTTGCTATTCATTTTAAATTTTATTGTTGTTAAGAAAAATATTATTACTGTAAACAAATGAAAAGGGTTTTGGACCATTAATTTATAACATACAACGCAATGATAAACAAACATGACTGGCTGAGCTTTCTTGCCTTCTAAAATGATGTGTATTTGTGCTGACTATTAAGTTTAAAACGAATACATATATATTTTCATTGAATTGTTTTGCTCATGCCCATTTTGAGATTTATGTATATATATAGTGTAAATAACTATATTACAATACAGAAAGTATTAAATATTTTTATAGAAATTGTGTAATTTATATAAAGTAAAAACATATTATAATAATTAATATTTTATGTATATATATATTGTGTAAATAATTATAGTAAAAAAACTAATTAAATTAGTATTAATTAATAAAAATTCTAATACATTCAATACATATTTAGTAAAAAGTACAAAATATTTTAATATTTACATTACACTAGAACCCGGCAAACCTGAATAATTATATGACACATAATATACAGTTAATGATTTAATTGTCTGATTATCACTTACTGTACAAGACTAATACACATACTTGTGCACATTTAACACAATTAAAAAGGGCCATATATTTTCCTTTAACACTGTAAAAACAATGTTTGATCTCAGATAGGCATGGGCCGGTACAAGTTTCTGATGGTATGATAACCTTAGATAAAAATATCATGGTATTGTGATAAATGCTCTAAAAGAAGTTCTTTTTAAATGTCCGAGTTAAAAACAATGACAATTTTCCTCCTATTTAACACTATATATATATATATATATATATATATATATATATATATATATATATAATTTTAGGAAACCTGTATAATATTTTGGAACAGTAAGCATCTCAGGCTAAAGAATTCAAATAATTCATGTCTTCTGCTCCTTTTATTAGTTTCAAAAGTACAGATTTATTTACAGCATATTAAAAAAATCTTACATGTACCTTAGGAATGGTATAACAAAACATTTTAGCGTTTTTTTTTTAAACCTTGACTTTCCAAAACCACAATAAATCTTGAAACCAGTTATCGTCCCATGCCTACCCCACATTACACACACACACACACACTAATCCATCACTCTAATTATTTTATAAATTACTTAAAAAAAAACAAACAAACTTTAAAATATGTCTGACAGTCATAAATCTAAAGACTTATTGCACACATATACCCATACATTGACTTTAAGGACTGTATTTATATTATATAACTAAATGCATAAATAATAGTTAAAGACTCTGTAATATGTTCAGTCTTGTTGTGTCACAGCCATTTTTACTATATAAATAAATAAATAAATAAATACAAAAGTTAAAATGATGTCATATATTCAGTTTTGAGTCACAGCCATGCCTTCCATTTTTAAAGGATTATTCTCATTTATCCCTTTAACTGCCCCACCAAGAAAAAAAGTTTGCTTAAATCCTAATGTCGCTACTTAACACACTCAATGGTCAACTTTTCAACACGTCCTACAATTTCTAAAATATCGGCCTCTTCCAAATAGTTAATATGTCGGTAGTACTGGAATGAATACATATACTATGAAAAATATGAAAATATAATAATTAAGACCAATTAATTAAAAATAATAATTAAAAATAAAACCTTTTTAAATGCTTAATCACCTTTATTTTCTGAAGTATGCCTTAAAATGTTTCAGATTATCATTTATTCTCATTTAGTGCAACATGATTATGTTTGTTTGATTGTTTTTGTAAATCAACAATTATTTTAAACAGTCATTCTTTAAATTACTTTAACAATCATTATTTATAACAGTAAAAACATGGTCAACCGTTTGTTAGAGCGGCAGTCAAAGGGTTATTTAATTATTGTCTGTGTGTGGGTTTTTTTTTGTACAAAAAGCAACATTACTCATACAACAATTTCAATATATTAAGCGTAATAGAATCTGTCATTTGGCTCGCAAAAACAAAACAAAAACGCAATGTCTACTGGAATGCAGATCAACTCTGAATGCTAGATATGCTGTTTGATAGATTTGAGCCTTTTAAAGAAGCACGCCACAATATTATGGCCTTGGGCAGGTTTCGAAATCATTTTCCAACATGCATTCTTTACATCACACACTGGCTCTGTTCCTCCATCTGGCATAACACCAATTTCATCCTGCATATACACAAAGTAACTGGATGCCAATGAAGGCACAACTACAAACCTGCAGTGTGAAGTGCACACTCTCATCCCTCACCCCCTTCCCAAAAACACAGATGCAGTGAAAACAGGAAGCCGGCGTTCCCTGAAAACCACAGTCAAATGGCACAGGAAGGATGGCAGCAATCACCAGAGCTTGATTTGCCACTGATGTAACCCTAGAATAATTCTTTAATCAAACCATCTCTGCATGCCCTGGACTGGGGGAGTTGTTTTTTATCTCAGAGGAGCTGTTGGGTGATGACCCTTTGCCAAGGACTTGCATTCAGAGATTTGCCCGGGCGAGATTAGACACCATCTGGCTAATTTGACAGGATTGAGAGTGATGAGATGCATCAGAACCAAAATAATGCTGCTGTGTGTTTGAACGCACGCATATGTAGGAGTGCGTATGTTTGTGTGCATATGTTCGCGCCAATGTTTGTCCTCGCTATGGAAACAGTGCGTGAGACGTGTCGATCCACGTTATCGGTGCAGGTAAACGTCGCGCGTGTGTGTCTGACAGCCTGGAGTGCATTTTTTTCAGTCGAGTGTGTGTTGCGCAAGCTGTTTAACAATGACCTTTCTGTTGCAGTCGACCGGCTGATCATAGTAAAACCAACGCTTACTACTTTGATCTCCGCTGAGTGAAATCACCTCTCATTTTCCCTCTTCCAGTCTCTCCCCGCTAAGCTCTTTTCACAATGGCTATTTTTGGCGTTCCTCTTCGGGGGACTGTATACACTTAATTATCTGGCACTGAATCTTGTAAGCTTCTTAGCCGTTGACAAAGAGTTGGAGAGCAGGCGTGCTAACCGTCCGTGTAGCAGAGGAATGTTTTGGTCAAGCAGATTGAGGTAAGGCTTTCTGGATGGGAGTTTCCAACACAATCTCACGGCGGGAGTATTGAGTGATGGTTTGTTGCAGCCACGTTGCATTTTTCAGATATTTACTTTTTTAAAGTCTTGGTTGAGTCAAAGTGGTAATGTAGACCCTCAGGATAAACTCATGTTTGACTTAGGAGGAACTAAATGGGGAGTTGACTGAACGTTGGTCAAGGATTCTGGCTGGAACATCGAGTTTTTTTGGTGAAAAGTTCATGTTTGGGAGGAAAGTATGTTTATGTACAATTACTACTGTTGAATATTGATTTTTGTTCATCATGTTGCTCTAGTGAAAGATTAATTTGGGGGAAAAAAAGTTTTTTTTAAAGGGATAGTTCACGCAACAATTACATTTCGCTCACCTTTAAGTGGTGTCAAACATTTGAGTAATTAAAGAGTTCTCACTTGGATATTGTTTGACACTATTTGCTAAGGGTGTGCTGATTTCGATTTTAAATCGAAATGATCGAAATTTATGCTCCATTTCGATTATCGAATCAAAAAATAGAATCGTGGATGCTGCTACACCCCCATGTCACGTCAGCTTGGCTTGCCAAGCGGGAAAAAAGCACGCTTGTTGAAGTGCTTGTGCAGACGCAGGAGACCCGTCGACAGAGCTTAAACCCTCTCCTCTTTCAATGAAGTCGCCGGTGTGGAAGCATTTTGAATTTCCAGTGAGTTATGTTGATGACGTTCGTGTTGTCAACAAAAAAAACACACCGATTTGCAAGCTCTGCTATGTACGTATTAGGGTTCGTCCAATAGACAACACCACCATCGCGATCCTTCGCACCGCCCACGTTGCAAATCCGCTCACGAAAAGTACACACTCAGGCCGTGTTTTCACTAATATGTCTGTTTTTAAATGACATTTTAGAACGACAACGATTTGACATCCACAGTGGCGTGTAGCATTTCTGAGCTGCCCTCCTTCTTCACTACTGCTGAAAACGCACATCACGTGACCACACAGACGCACACACAGCCATGCGCTCGAGACAGCAGGTCCAGGAAGTCAGGATCAGTAGACTGCTTTAATCGTTCACTCATTTGTACTTAGTTATATTAGCGAACACCTCAGATACTATTGACTGGTTCCTGTTGGTTGTGCACCTTTTTTTACCGACGCCATTATAACGACACAGATCACTGCCTATACACAAGTCCTGTAGAAAAAGGGGTTGACAGGTGGTAATTATGTGTGTATCTTGCCTTTATTCATTTACTGTATGATTTGTTTATGGGTAAAACAAAGACCATACAGGTCAGGTAGTTTAAACGGTAGGCTACAAATAATTAATTAAATTAATTAATTATTCATAATCGAAAATCGAATCGAACCGAATCAAAGATTTGAAGGATCGTGACACCCTTACTATTTGCATGTTTGGCATACTGTCCCAGGAAAGAACCCTAAACTCTGAAGCCCTATTTAGAGCAATAGCCCGTTTCACTGAGTGGTACGGTTTGGTATGCTTTTATGGCCGTTTCCACAGTCAAAAGGCATACCTTACTGAACTCTATCACTTTTTCGGCACCCTTTTGAAAGGGTACCAAACACGAGAAGGGGTACAAAAAGGTGGAGCTACAAACGCAGCTAAACACTGATTGGTTACAGAGATGCATCACAAGCTCGTGTGGAGCTAGCCATAATGAAAACAAAAGAAAGGCCATGTTTTTAAATGCACAACTGAGACATTACACGGCAATACTTTATGCATATAATAACGAGCCATGGGTGACCCAAGCTCAAACAAACCTTGTCATTATCTCGATGTACAGACACAAAGCCAAGAAGAACAAAATCGGCCGTGTCCTGTTGTTGTTTTATGAGGCCGTCTAAAAGTGTAAACGGTTTTCCCTTTCTTCAGGGAGCTCGCAATTGCGTCTATATTTGATGTAACGAACGTCTTGAGCTGATGATAATAACGTGCGCATGGTTATTGAAGTGTGTCTGTCATCTGAACCTTACAGAAAGAATAGGACAAATGTGAGAGTGAAGCACGAACAACCTAAAGAGAAGCCCAACAAAACACAGGAGCAAATTGTTTATCATCGCCTTTAGACTATTATGAACTTGCAATGACAGAATTACTTTCTTAATTGTGATAAAATTGTGCTCTATAAATAAAGTTTGCCTTGCCTATCAGAGCTTACATGTTCTGGTAAAGATTACAGACACAGATGAGAGGTTTGCACTGAGTGTGGGCTATGTTGCATGTTTTTTTTTTTTGCACCTAAATAAGGACTAAATGTATGATGTGTGTAGCTTTTCTGTAATTGATATCATATCGGAGACTGTAAGGGTCTGTATGTGTTTATATATGTTGGATTTATATATTTATTTTATATAAATGCAGACCTTACAGTAGGCTATTTAACACTGTCATTGATCTGCAGTTATAATTAAATTAGGTTCATAGAAAAGTTAGTAATGAACATTTATACAAAAGTATTTGTGTGTATAAAGCATCTGTTTTGTGATAAGTGCTTCTTATATGATATGTGAACGACCCATACAGCTTTACTGTAGACATTTATTCGAGCGAGAATGACATCGACTAAAGCTTTCTGTTGTACACCACGCCCACCAAAAGGGAACCCTTGGTGGTGGAAACGCATGCCTGATAAAGGTGACCCGTACCGACCTGTATCGTACTGTAACAGGTCAGTGGAAATGGGCCAAAATACATATTAGATTCAAAATGGCATTTTAAAATGAAAATGATCCACATTCACACTGACGTTTCACCTAGCATTTCTGAAAAGATCTCCGTCTGAAAACGTACATCATGTGACCACACATGCACTCTGGCATCCGCTGCAGTTATACTTATATAATGGCCACTATTGTTTATTAAAACTGATATTCAGGAAAAGAGACATGCTATGTTTCGTATTTTTCATTGAAAATGATTGGAGGCAGTTATGTTGAAAATGAAAGTCATATAAATATCTAGCTACACGATGCCTTAACATTTTTGGTGTCTACATTTAGTCATTTAAGTCATCTAAGTTTTTTAATATCAAAATGGAAATAGGCAGTTCCTTATATCATGTTTTCATTTTATTGTTCAGATGTTGAGAAACAATGTAGTCTGCAAGGTGATGGGAATGACGTTATACAGTTCCTTTTGAAGAGTCACCCGACGTGTCCTCGGGAGTTTGTTTTCTATATCAATCTTGTGAAGTCTGAACTTACGAGGAAAGGATGCAAGACTGGAAGACTGTTTGTGCACTTACTATTAAGAAAAAGCTCCATTCAGATATTGAATGTCGGCAGCCATGCCTCCGTTTTCAGATGTTTCCCTGACACTGACACTGAGCAGCTGCATTTTCAAATGAAAACTGCCTCTTTAGTGTTTTCAAAAGGCTCTATTTTCCATGCTCGAAAACTCTGGGGGAGTGTGGACAGAAAGCTTAACCATAACAAAGGTTATGCATTTTAAAACTAAAACGTATTAGTGTAAATGGGGCCTGAGATAGTTGAGCCCAGGGCTCCCGCCTGGTCAATTAGCATGTAAGGGGATCCAAGATCAGGCAGGTCTGTAGTGCTCCCCATGGTAAGGGAGGAAAAGGAGGAGATTGGGTGGACGGAGGATTCTTCCAAAATAAAGATAAAGCAGTAGTTTGAAATTGGTCTATTTATTTTAGGCTTGAATCAGTCTGAATGGTTTCCCGCTGATTACAGATGGGGGAACAGCTGTGATCTATCATATCATGTGCTCCTCTCGAAATTAGTTCATAAAACTTTACATTTTGAAGATAGCTTAACTTATGACCATTAACACTGCAGTCATTGGTTTCCAGCTTTCTTTAAAAAAAAAAAAAAACTTTTGTGTTCAAATGAAAAAGCTGAACAGGTTTGAAACAAGTGAAGGCTGAGTAAATGATGATGGAATTTTCAGTTTTGGGTGAACTCTCTTTAGGGTCAAAGTAACCTTAAGTAATTTCATTGTACTACATTGTAATCATTCATTACAATTTCATTGTACACAGGGGCGGACTGGCCATCTGGCAATTCTGGCAAATGCCAGAAGGCCCAGACCAATTTTTAAATGTGGGCCAGTCAGTTTTTTTTTTTTTTTTTTTTATTGTTTTTACGTGCAGGCAGCTTTTATCTCTTGCTAGATGTAATATTATGATGAGGATAAATAAAAAAAATAAAAAATAAAAAAGATAATAATAAATGTTAAGCATTTGGCCCAATCGGCGACGGCCTCCTAATTTCAATATGGGCCGACCCAATCCGAGGTTACCCGGACGTAATCAAAATCTGGCAAGATTCAAGAATGTCATATTATTTCACCATCTCTACACCAAAATAAATAGTGATTGTGCATGTCAGTGGGTGGGGCTGTCGGTGTGGTAATGTGGACTGATGTGGCTACAGTGCCAGGGCTGAATTTTTGTCCCAGTCCGCCCTTGATTGTACATTTACATCAAACCAACTGGCTAAATGTCAAATTTATTCATTAGCATTAGCTTATGTTTTTTCTTTTTATTGGTATTGTACTGTTTTTGTTAAAGAGGCAGTGGCGTAGCGGACGGGCCCGCAGGGCACGCACCGCGGGGGGGCCCCGCGTGATTAGGGGGCCCCACGTCGTCGCGATATTCAAAAATTGAAAATCCAGGAACCGCAATAATCAAACTCTTGGGAACAACTGTGGACGGAACCTAAGTTCACAGGTCTGTGTTCTCCGAACACCTCTCAAGCGGTGGACTACTTCATTCTGATTGCTTGCCGCCGAACCGCGTCATAGCCAATGAAGACGCGCCGCTGTTTCTCGCCGCCGGTTCTCGTTAAAAATGAATGACTTCTGGCTACTTTGACGCTCTCGCCGCTTTCGGTTTGTGATCGCTCCTCAGTTTGTGAAGGATTCCCCGCATTGTCGCTCCACTCCGCCTCCTTTCCCCGCACCTCAATTTGTGACATAGATATATACACTAGATATTGTATAGGGACCCTGAGCATGCGTCATTAGCGCCGCCACATTGGGACAGTGCTCCCAGGACAAATGTCATTCAGTCGCACTAGACAATTACGTGAAGATGCGGGACTGTAGCGCTGTCTACGAGTGTAGTAACGAGCAAACAAAGAAAACAAAGCACAAAGGCAGAACATTCCATAGGTAGGATTAAGTTTTTTACGTTTTTGTATGTTCTGAAATTTGTGCTAAACAGGTAGCGTTATTGATACTAATACAGCCACTTGCTGCATTCACTATAAGTCAAAGTAGCTCCAATTCGCACTAAATACTCGGCTTATGCTAGTTTTGTTGAATAAAATCAGCAAACAATGAAAAAGAAATATGACAACGAGATGCTGCGGTGCCAGAAACTTGTATTATTGTCGGCTAGTGAAGGAGTCGTTGATAATGGAGATTCATTCACAAACAAATCGCTCCCTCCATCAGTATGAGAAGTGAAAGCAGGAGAGGAGGTGTGTTTCAGGACATGATTAGATCAAATTTAACAGGGAGGGTGGATAGTACATTTCTGTACACACAAACACAAGCTTTTTGTCAGGAATGCCCATGCGGTCACTGATCCATCAATGTAGAAAAGTGATGTAAAATTATAATTTTCATAATTGAAATAAAAATAAAAATACTAACATCCAGGAAAACTCCCGATCATAGATATGTGTATATGTGTATATCTCTGGCTCTGCCGCCCCCAAACCCCCCCGACCCCCTTGAAAACTGGGGGCCCCATCTGTGATCCCTGCAGGGGGGCCTCCGCATTTTGCGCTACGCCACTGTAAAGAGGTGGTCCACAATGATATCATATTTTAAACTTTAGTTGATGTGTAGTTTAGCTGTGTGAACATAAACAACATCTCTGAATGTAAAAACTTCTAAGTTCAATGCAAAGGGAGACCTTGGTTTTTACAGAGTTAGCTTAGCAAAGCCTACGTAACGTTATAGCAGAGATGAAGCTAAAAATGCGTCCAAACACTGCTGTTTTCACAAAGCTTCGTCTGTTTCTGTATTTGGGCTTCCAAAGGACACGACACAAAGACAGAAGCGCTTACAGCTCAATATTAATTATGATCCAGAGAATTATAAAATACATAGCAAGCATGATTTGACAAAACAGCTCAAGAATCTCTAACAGTTCAGTGCTGAATTCGGTTAAAATCTCCTCAAAGCAGAAGCTGTGAACTAAAACCTGTAAGTGTTTTTATTTGTTAAAATTGATCATGACATGTACAGTGTCTAGCGTTAACGGTATGCTGTAGTAACGATGTAAACAATGGGAAATGCTCTTTGCCACCGCAAACGATTTAGCAACAAATTCATATTTATCAGTCAAACTGCTGTAAACACACAAACTTCACCAGCACATTCGTGTCTCTTATGTGTGTGCGTGCGTGCGACTGCATTGATTGTCTTCAGGCAGCTTTTTTTTATGCGTTTCACATCTCAGATAATGAAGTCGCAAAAGATATATGGATGATTCATATTACTTACACCTGCATATTCCGGATAAATGTGAAAGGCGTCGTGTAACGCAGAGTTAAAAAAAAATACAGGATAGCTCACCTGACTCGTGGTAGCATTAGAAAAATAAATTAAGGCTCACACAGGTAGCATCCCACATCTTGTGCTTTTATTCTTCTGTCACGATATATTACAGAAAATAACTTAATCCGAGCATCAGGAAAAAAGAGAAAAAAAAAACTCTCATGCACATGCGCTTTTTACAGAAAGTTCACACATTCACTCACACACACACACACATACACATAGACGCACGCACAATGGCAAACGCTCTTAAAGGAGCCGCACCCCATTTTCACTCGTTACAGACACTTGTCAGATTTTTTTTTGAGCAGGCAGGATGTTCACTGATTGTTTACACAGCAGAAAAGCGTGTGGTTTTTTGGGCGTGACGTGGAGCCGATCCGCACATAGCAGCACATTATATTGAGGACCAATCAGAGTCACTTAAGGGTGGGCCTTTCAGAGGAACTAGGAAATTTGACAGTAGTTTTCATGTTAGCTGAGTAGCTGTGTATAATCAAAGTGAGATGTATGAAAAAATAACGTGCTTTCCTTTAAGTGAAACATGAGCACACATTGCTTTGCATCTTATAAACACAACTAAGGCTTAAAATTACATTCTGGACCACCCCTTTAAATAGATTATAAAAAATATTAAATGAAACAAAATATATGTATAAAAAAAAAGAAAATACTGGGGTAAAATTAATTTCGATATTTTAAAGAATTGTTGTGGAAAAATATAATTTAATGCAGTGCTTCTTTTTTGGTCTAATACCCACTTTATATCGTATCTCAGCCAGGAAGTGAAGATCGCTGTTTTTTTTTTTTTTTTAAAGAAATCAGATCTTAAACGCAGCGATTTTTGTATGGGATGAGAATTCACTGAAAGCCCTGAAGCTGGCTGACTGAAATTAAATGTCTGTGTGCATATACCCCATTTAAAATAAAGATAAAAATAGAAGATTAAATATATAATAAAAAATATAATATATCACCATTTATTTAGACATCAAAAATATGTATTAATTAAGGACATATGAAATTAAACAATACTTTTATAATGGTACAAACAGATTTATTGATGGTGAAATATTATATAGCTACATACTGATCAATGCTGCAAAACTGCAATACTGCAAATAGATATATAAATATATATAAATATATATATATATATATATATATATATATATATATATATATATATATATATATATATATATATTCATTCATTAATTTATTCATTCATTTATTCATTTTCTTGTTGGCTTAGTCCCTTTCTTAATCCAGGCTCGCCACAGCGGAATGAACCGCCAACTTATCCAGCAAGTTTTTACGAAGCGGATGCCCTTTCAGCCGCAACCCATCTCTGGGACGTAAATTAAAAGGATAGTTCAGCCAAAAAATGAAAATTTCCTGACCGTTTACTTGCACTCAAGTGGTTCTGATGTGATTTTGTTTTTTTCTGTTGAACACAAAACAAGATATTCTGAAGAAGGTTGTGGAAAAAAACAGCTATTACATCCAAAGTAGAAACAAAAATACTATGGAAGTCTATGTTTGTTTGTTTTTTTTAAACATTCTTTAAAGTATCTTATTTTCTGTTCAACGGAAACTCAAACAGGTTAAAACAAGTTTCTAAGTTGAGCTTTCTCTTTATTATGCTAAAATGCATTCCCCAAACCACCAGCTAGCAGCATTTGTTACACTTAACCAAGTCTCACTTACACTACGTTCTTAAAGACGTAACCGATACATTTATATTTGTTTGTTGTTCGTTAGATGCAAAGCTGTAAATGAAGTGAAAACAGTGCATAACACAGGCTGAAAGTGCAGTTAGCGCTGCATCCTCTAGGCCAGAGGTTCTCAAACTTTTCAGCCTGCGACCCCTAATATGACGATGCCAGTGACTCATGACCCCCAATATCCTGGTTATGAATACCGAAACCTTGCATGCAATGTCACACACACACCAATACACCCATGGATATTCTTCGTTTAATGTCAGTGCTGTAAATGGGCCAGAAACTTTAACCTGGTGTTATAAAATTAATCTGCTGCATCTGATGCTATTGCTGTGTCTTTAATATAATGTAACTACCACTGGGGTTGCAATCCAATAGAACTAGTAACTATAAGCTACTATAGTAATTATAAACAACTATATTTTTCTCTTCAGTAGGTTATGGATAAAATATGGTCATTCTTGTATGATTTAATAATAATAAATAGATTTTTAAAATCACCAGGCGACCCCCCCCCCCTTTATTGTCCCGCGACCCCTCGAGGGGTCCCGACCCCCACTTTGAGAACCACTGCTCTAGGCTATCTCTGGTCATGTCTCGACAGCACAAGTGGGATTTGAGATGTTGGCAGATTTTGTTTAGCGTGTAAAGCATCTGTTCACCTCAGATTCACTCTCAAACCCCGAGCGCAGCAGTGTTGTTTAATCAGAGCAGAGCGATCTCTATATGCAAAGCCTGCCATTTTAAGAGCTGCACACAAACACAGACGTCCGGTGTTCGGGCTGAGTGGGGAAACACCTGGGTGTGTTTGTGTTATCTTCAAACACTCAGTTTGGAATATGAACCTACAGTCAGTTCGGTTACTGTGATGCTCTGTGTGTCGGGCAGGTGCATAAGCTTTGTGTGTTTCTTTTTTTATCTTCAGGCTGTTTGACCAGAGATCAAGAGACATGGAGAGTCTTAGCCACACCTCTGCTTGTCTGCATTTGTGAGCTGGGTTTGAGTCAGGTGAGTCGATATAAATGCAAAAAAAGAGGTTTAAGCATTGGGGCAGCATGATATTGGAAAATTCTAACATTGCAATTATTTTGAATTTATTGTATTTTACTATATACCGTTTAAGTCACAATTATTAGCCCCCTTTTAATTTTTTTTCCTTTTTTTTATATTCCCCAAATAATGTTTAGCAGAGCAAGGAAATTTTCTCAGTATGTCTGATAATATTTTTTCTTCTGGAGAAAGTCTTATTTGTTTTAGTTCGGCTAGAATAAAAGTCAGCGATTGATGAATAGTTTACTATTTTCATCTCCATAAAATTCAGCAAAAACTATTTGTTTATGGGAAAATTAGGAGAAATTTGTCTCTTTTTGTTTCAAAAACTTATCCTCATTGCCTGTTTGGTCACTCGCAACAAATGATATCTTAAAGCTAATAGCTACTGTACAATAGGGACTATAAGATTTAAAACAGACACGTCTCTGCTTTGCTCTATCACTTTCTAATGTTTTATCATTTCAAAATGACATTATGAACACAGGGATTAAACTCTACTATCAAACTTCAAATAGTGCTACATCAGCAGCCTTTTGTGCTTTGGTACCATTACCTAATACAAGGACTGATCGTTTCACCAGATGTGCAATAAATAGGTGTTTGCCGTTACCGGCTTTTAAAAACTGTTATGGACGGAGATCTTTCTTTTATTTATTCACAAAAGCTTGGAATGAAATCCCACAACATCGGAAAACTTTACCAACACTGAGACTTTTTTTAAAAATCCCATGCTCATCATCTGATGGTCAACTATCTCTGTAGCCACTGAGATAGTAGCCTGTTTCTCTTCATGTTGTATGCCTGGTGATTGTTTGTTTTGTTCTCATGTGTTGATGGATGATAAGTTAAGTGTGTCTGTATGTTTCTATGTTCTGCTGAGCGGGAACCTGCTGAAAAAACAGCATTCATGCTGAGTCAGGCCCGATTATCTTTTAATTTTTTTTCGGTTTAAAGTAAAATAAATAAATAAATCTGATAAACAATCTATAAACTTCAACACATTTTCGTTGTGGTCTGTGCTATTTGCAGTGCGTTTCTGTAATTGCATGTGTTATGAGTGTCTTCATGCATGTGTTTAGTCAGAGACTGATGAATTAATGTTTACTATTCGCATATCTGTAAAATCTAAAAAAAAAAACAATCTATAAACTTTTTGGGGTCCTCAAACACATTTTTTTGTTGTGATCTGTGGTATTTGTTGTGTTTTTTTGCATTTGCATGTGTTGTTTCATGCATAATATTCTATAAACACAATCATTTCAGAGTCCAACAGTATTCAAGTACAGGAACTGAATCATTAAAATAAAAATAAATCATTACAATTAGGAGTAGTTAAAGTCACAAATGGTACAATTTATTATACCTAAATGTTTTTGAAATCATTATACAAGCACAGACATCAAAAACACACATGCAAATGATGAAATATAACACAAACTCAACATTGCATATCCTGCAATGTGACTATTGTGAATGATCACGTTGCGATATCGATGTTGAAACGATATATTGTGCAGCCCCACTAAGCATCAAGGTTATTTTAGCAAATTAAATTTGAGACTAAAACTGTTTGTCGAAAATATTTCATTAACTAAATTAAAATGTAAAATTGACAATGAATGGAAAAACTAAAACTAACAACAGTCCCTGAAAAGCTAACTGAAGTAAAATATTAATTAGAAAACAATAAATAAAACCCTCTTTCCGAAGAATTTGCATGTTTAGAGAAACCTCTTTAGATGCTTAAAAAAAAAAACAGACAAACAAAACCATCAAGCACATTATACATATAGCTATACAGTTGAAGTTAGAATTATTAGTCTTCCTGAATTATCAGCCCCCCTGCATATTTTCCCCAAGTTCTAGGTAAAGAAGATATTTTCGACACAATTCTAAATGTAATAGTTTTAGTAACTCATTTCTAATAACAGATTTATTTTATCTTTGCCATGATGACAGTACATAATATTTTACTAGATATGTTTTAAGACACTAGTATTCAGCTTAAAGTGCAATTTAAAGCCTTACCTAGGCTAATTAGACATAGGCTAGCCTAACTAGGCTAATTAGGGGGATCAGGCAGGTCATTGTATAATGATGGTTTGTTCTGTAGTCAATCGAAATAAATAGTTAAGGGGGCTAATGATATTGAGCTAAATGGTTTAAAATTTGTAAAAAAAAAATTTATCTATTCTAGCTGAAATAAAACGAATAAGACTTTCTCATGAAGAAAAAAATATATAGGAAATACTGTGAAAATTCCTTGCACTGTTTAACATTAATTGGAAAAAAAATTGAAAAAGAAAAGAAATTCACAGGAGGTTGAATAATTTTAAAATTAACTATATATATAAACCTAAAACGTGTTCCAAGTTTTCGACATCTGCCAAAAAAGTAAACAGTGGGCATGTTTATCTACATTTACAATGTAATCTTTTATTTGAAGAAGATTGTTTGTGATCTTCACAGTGTTAACTTTAATTTGTTGCTTGTGTATGGTTTTTTAGTCAGTGTTTGTGCAAGCAATTATTTTATTTGTATTACTAAGAGGTTTGCACAAAAGCTAATTTAAACTGTGCAAACACCAAACTGTAGAATAACAAAAACTGAAACTAAATATATTAAAGCTAAACTCAATTGTTCACAAGATAAGAACTAAAATAAACTATAAATAAAAATAAACTAAAACTAATGTGAAATGTACAGCAAATCTAGAAATAGTATCAAAATAATTCATTTATAAATGGAAAATTATAATAACCTTTGTAAGCACCCTTTGTAGTTTTTTGTCAAAACACTAGTCAAACATTCTGTCCATATTAATTCATAAGACTGCAGGGTTGCGTTAAAGTTGTATGTAAATAAGTATGCTGTGTAGTAAAGCAGTGTACTGAGATTGGACAAAGGGATAACTAAAACTAAAGTGAAATGTACAGCAAATTTAGAAGTATTAATAAACATTTCTAACAAAAATGGAAAACTGTAATCTTGGTAAGCAGCATTTTTATTTGTTTTTTATTCACATTACCATCATGTAGTGTGTACTGTTTCTGTGTGTGAATGTGAAAGCTCTGCAGAGTTTTAAAGATGAATTGCAGGACAACTAAAGTTATCTCCTCACTGATAGAATCAATTCGGAACTACCAAAATGAGTCGTCAGCAGTTTTCGTTTAACTTGTGTAAATGATCTATGTAGATCCATACGTAATGGCTGCCTACTGTCTTCACTGACTGCCTGCAAACAGTGTCTTCTTTGACCCTCAAACACTTTAGTTGATTGTATTATTGACATCACAGGCTCCAGACTTTGAGCAAATGATTCCATTGTGTGACCATTTTCCTCCCAGTATTACTAAAATTTGCAGAAAAAATGCAAAACTGATAAAAAAAAAAATAGCTTGGTTTCCATCTCCCTTTTTTAATGCATTTTAAACGATCACATGAAAAACAAATGATGAAAACACAGAATTTTTAATTTTAATTGTAAATCCTTTGATTCACAATAAAAATGATGCTTGCTTGAGGTGGTTTTAGATATTATTTATGCAAATAATGGGAGATGGAAACTCATTTGCTGAATAAACTCTGACTTAGAGAGCATTACACCCATGTGAGCAACCAATTTTCATTATGCTTGCCATGTTTACCGTTAACTAGTTGCTTACTAATACTACAGTCAGCTGCTCTAACATCACCTAATTCTCATTTTCAATTTTTTTTTCCTTTTTTTTTTTTTTGCAAGCTTTGAATAGATTTGTTTATGGATGGAAAGCCGTAATAACATTCTGATGCCCAGGGAATATTTGAGATATGAGTTGGCCACTATGGAATCTGCGCATGTAGAAACTTGCGGATTTCAACAAATTTTAATTATTGAGTGTATTTACTTGTGTAAATTTAAAATTTTTTTTGTTTGTTTTTATTTTAATTTCAGTAATATTATTGACTAATATGAAAATACTTTTATGATTTTATTTATAATACATTTAGTAGAGTAATATTTAGTAGATATATAATATAAGATACTTGCTTCGTTTACCAAATCTATTTGCATTGTAAACATTAAATAAAATTAGGAAGGTATTATTTTTAGTTACGATATTTCCAAAAGCATTTTGCGTTTTTACAACATTCTCCACAGAAAAAGCAAAAAATGTCTGCAGATTCTGTCTGGCCCTAGATATGAGATGCATTGCTGTGAAATCTAAAAAAAAAAATGTTCAAGATCTCTCATGCAAATCACAAATGGACAAATTAGTCCATGGAATTGATGAAACTGCTGAAACATTGTAAAATAATCAGGTTATGTTTTTAAATCCACAAATCGCCAGCTGTTATCAAGTTATTCATGTAAAAATATATAATTACTGCTTTTCTGTTGATCAGTCGTGTTAATTGTGCTTTTTTTGTTTTAAATGTCTTGCATTTAATGTACAGTTTCTTGTTTATAAGAGAATTTGCAAGGGAGTAGAGTTCAGTCTAACACTTTCAGTCATGACTGATCTAAACTCATCTGATTTGCCATTGATGTTTTATTGGTTATTCTGCTATTCACCCCAATGAGTAAACAAGCTGCGGTTAGCACAGGTCTAAACATAATCCCTCAAATTGACACTTAATTCAGTTAAACGTCTCACTTAAAAGATTTCAATTTAGAATAGATTTAATTATGCAGTAGGACTATAGGGTGATACTGGGAAAATATGCGATTTTTATTTTTGCATGTTGCTGTAATATTTCTTTCTTTTTATATATATATATATATATATATATATATATATATATATATAATATTTTATTTTATAAATAAATACTACTTTATTAGCATAAAAAATTATTTATTTATCGATCATACAAAAAAATTTGTTATAGATATTTTTCTGATATAATTAAATCTAATAATTCAGGCTAAAATATGTAGAGGCAATCGTTTAGGCTTTAAAACCTCGGCAGATATTCAGATTCTTTTTCGCTGTTGTCATTTTTTCCTCGCTTGTCATTAATATTCATTTGAAGTCTGCACTGAGGTTGTAGGTTCACTTTTGGGCTTTATCTAGCCAGTCGCATAACAGCATCTACTGGGGAGGTGGATATAAGAATAGTAAAGGCCCATCTGATTGGCCTAATTTGGATAAACAACCAATGCATGCAAAACACATGGCACATAAGAAATGCCATTCATTTGCACCTCTCTGTGATATAAATAATATTAATATGATAAAGGTATTTTAATGTATACTGTGCAGCCATATGGCACATTTGTTCCCTATTTGAGAATCCTGATAGAAATGACCAGTACACTTGTTAATGTTGACGTAGAGATTGTTCAGCTCAGATGGGTTCAGTTCTGTTTTCAGATCTTACAGCTGTAATGAGTAAGATCTCATAATAGGCTGATTATCCTCTGATGTTTTAACATTAAAATCGAGCTAGGATTGTATAGTATATTCACTGCTGTATCTTCTGTCATACATTTGTAAAGTCAAAGAGGATTGAGAAAGTTTCCGAAATTAAAATTCCGATATGATGTTGGGGTTTAGTTTTCAATTTGAACCATAAGCAGTAGAACGGTCTCAACAGACTGGGCAGTCTGACCAATCAGAGCAAAGCAGCCTTGTGGAAAAGTTTGGTTTAGAAGAACAGTACTGTTGAATGATTTATTGAGACTTGAAATGAGAAATTAAATGACTTGAAATGCATATTATGAGAAAACGAGACCTCCTTGACTTACAAGTAGCATAATTGTGGCACTTTAAAGAGTAGGAGCTATGTAGTGAACAGGAAAATAAGCAAATCAAAATAGACCGTTTATATCACTTGACTATTTGAAGAAATCACGTGGTTTATGTTGATCTTAACTGATTTAAACTCATTACTCTATTGTGTCCTCTATTAAAGTATTTTAGACAGAGAAAATGCCAGTAAATGCAAATTATATTCATGGTCAATGTGGAAAACATTTGCATGGCAAATATTCTCTAGTCAGACACTGAGAGTTAGGAGTGTGCAATATTTATTGTCTACTGTAATATAGTAAATCACTTTGCTACAAAACAAACCAAAAAACGCATCTTGAGAACCCAAAAGAATATGCTGTGTAATGAAAACCATTTGAATGCAGTTAGAATCACCCTAGAATTGAAGTCATGAAAAGGAGTTAAAAGTTGTTTTTGTTTTGATATTCATAAGATATGACAATAAAATCACAAAATCAACAGTGCAGTTTTCTCAAATACCAGCATGTGAGAATGATAGCTAATGTGACAATTGATTTTATATCACAGTTCAACAAATAAGAAGTAAATATTGAGTGTGTTGCATTTTATAAATGTTGCATTTCAGAGCTGCACTGCAGTGTTTTGTTTCTGAATGAACCTGTTACTGAATGAATCGAGTGAGCCAAAACTTGCTTAAATTTTTAAACGATTTAGTCATATTTTATAACCAACCATTGATTCAGTGAATCACTTATTAACACAAAGACTTGACCAGAACCAACTTTTGTCGTTTAATTATTAATGACAGACCTGAACTAGCTAATGTGTCAACACAAAAACACACTCTGCTAAATATTAATCAATGCAACCCCTACACATACTGACAGGTGTGATTTAGACCATGATTTCGGTGTAATAACATTCAGCTAATACAACTCTTTCATACACTGGGTCATAACTAAATCCGACACAACAGTAAAGCTGTATTTTCTATGTTAAAGGGAGATTTTGGTGCACAAAATTTCTGTTTTAGAAACCGTTTCTATTTCTGCGATTTATTACGGCTGAACAACAACATAAACTACTATGGCATTGATCACCTCAGGTACTGATTATGGGTTTCATTCAGTGTTAAGTGCTACTAATGTGGGGTTCAATACCATTTTATGTGACATTTATAGCCATACTGAAAGCAGAAGCAGATAGTTTACCTCAGGTTTTTTAAATAAAATAACTAGCAAACAAAGTTTGAAAGCAAACATGTTAAAGAGTTTAATAGGTATTAATTAGATTATTGTTCAATCAATGAAGTACACTCACCAGCCATAATATTAGGTACACCTGTCCAACACCTTGTTAACCTTGGTAATTAGCCAATCAGCAACTCAATGCATTGCGGCATTTACATGTGGTCAAGACGATCTGCTGCAGTTTAAACAAAGCATGAGAATAGAGAAGAAAGGTGATTTAAGTGAATTTGAACGTGGCATGGTTGTTGGTGGCATACAGGCTGGTCTGAGTATTACAGAAACTGCTGATCTACTGGGATTTTGACTCTCAACCATCTCTAGGGTTTACAGAAAATGGTCTAAAAAGAGAAAAAATCAAGTGAGCGACAGTAATGTGGGCGCAAATACCCTGTTGATGCCAGAGGTCATAGGAGAATGACCAGACTGGTTCGAGCTGATAGAAAAACAGTAACTCAAATAACCACTCGATACAACTGAGGTATGCAGAAGAGCATATCTGATTGCAGAACATGTTGAACCTTGAGGCAGATGGGCTACAGCAGCAGAAAACCACACTGGATGCCATTCCTGTCAGCCAAGTACAGGAAACTGAGGCTGCAATTCGCACAGGCTCACCAAAATTGGACTATAGAACATTGGATAAACGTTGCCTGGTCTGATGAGTCTCGAATTTCTGCTTTGACATTCTTATGGTAGGGTCAAAATTTGCCATCAACAACATGAAATCATGGGTCCATCCTGCCTTGCTAATCAATGGTTCAGGCTTGTGGTGGTGGGGTAATGGTGGGGGGATATTTTCTTGGCACACTTTTGGGGCACATTAGCACCAATTGAGCATTGTGTCAACGTCACAGCCTACCTGAGTATTGTTGCTGTCCAGCCCTTCATGATTACAGTGCGCCCATCTTCTGATGGCTACTTCCAGCAGAATAACACGCCATGTCATAAAGCACAAATCATCTTAGAGTAGTTTCTTGAACATGACAATGAGTTCACTGTACTCAAATGGCCTCCGAAGTCACCAGAGCTCAATCCATTTGAGCATCTTTTGGATGTGGGGCAACGGGAGATTCACATCATAGATGAGCAGCTGACAAATCTGCCATGATGCTATAATGTCAATGTGCACCTAAATCTCTGAGGAATATTTCCAATAGCTTGTTGAATCTATGCCCCGACGGATTAATGCAGTTCTAAAGGCAAAAGGGGTCCAACCCGGTACTAGTAAGGTGTGCCTAATAAAGTGGCCAGTGAATGTATACTGCACTCTTGTTTTTTGCATCTAGTTTTTGGTGCAGTAACCTTATAAACAGAGAAACTTTGATTATGGAATAATGTTTTTGTAGGTGGAAATGACATTCCTTATGATGGTATTCATCACATACGAAATAAGATTGGATTGTTTTTAATGACGGAGTATTTAATTAATAACATAATGTGATTGACAATTGAAAAGGAGGGTGGAGGTAGAAAATCGTTTCACACACTGAAACTATTGTTTTGTATCTCTGAAGAATGTGAAATGAAATATAAAGCAATAACTCGATCAGTGCACATCATGATCTTTTGATTATCTGATTATACTATTTTGTAGGGAGTACAGTAGACTATTCAGCACTTCAATAGCTCCTGTATTTAACTGGCTGGTATACAAACTGCTTGTCGCATCGTGTGTTGTTAGGACACACTGCTATATACACATTTTCTTCTTGTGCATTTCTTTTTCGTTTTCTCTGTCAGGAGGACCATGCTCAGCTCAGAGCGAAGTGTGGTTGAGGAATGGCTCTCGGAGTTCAAGGTGAGCAGAATTTAATATGCAATGTTTTTTTTTTTTTTTTTTCCCCTTGTAGCTCACTCAAATTAAATTCTTCCTTCCCAAGTGATCTGAGCTCAATGTCCAATTAACCACATTTGCATCTGGAATGTCAGATTTTAATGGAGGAATATTTTCAGCATCAAGTTCATTCAATTCCAGGCCGATTCGGGTTGAGGCAGCTTAGTCATGTCAACCAATGTTTTTTTGTTCTCCTTAGGCGTTACCTGACGAGCAGATCCACCGCTATTCTGGCAGTCTGCGTCTGAAGAAAGCTCTGGTTCCTGCTCTCTATGCTGTTATTCAGGAGCAGCCCAGCAGTGAGGTATAAAGAGGTGTTTGAAGCGCTTCAGGACAGACTCATGTTTTATTGAACTTTGTTACGTGTAGAGGGTTATCTGTCAGATGATGGTTTATTCATTGGTTTGGATTCTTGTGACTTGGTTTTATTGATGCATTCAGCGTTATTATTAGGTCAAATATAAATATTAGATTAATAACTTGCCTTTTTAAAGGAACACTCCACTCTCTTTTTTTTTTTTTTGGAAATAGGCTCATTTTACAACAGCTACAGTTGAGACTTACCATTCTTTAATCCATTCAGCCAATCTCTGGGTGATTTCTAGCTTTAGATTTCAGATTTAGCTTAGTGTAAATCAGAAGTCCCCAACCTTTCTATCACCACAGACCAGTCAATGATTGACAATTTTACCGGTGGGGTTGGAGGGAGGCCATATCTACATCAATATCTGGGCGACCATCAACTGTTTTCTCAAACTATGACAAGCTGACAAAACATTGCTGCAATTCTGATACTAGTTTTATTTATGGAGAAAATAAAAAAGCACTGCAGTGTTTGTGTTATGTGTTTGTTGGAGGTAATTAGTCTACTTAAATATGTGTATTTCAAGTTCTTGTCATGTGATTCACAGTGCGCTCACCAGCATTCAGATTCAACCGATCTCTGGGTCATTTTTAGCTTTAGCTCAGGGTAAATCAGTGGTTTCCAACCTCTTTATCACCGCGAACTGGTCAATGATCGACAATTTTACCACGGAACTGAAAATTTGAGATGTTTTCAACTGGTAGCACCTGAGAGGAAATAACTTAATTTTTGCACGTGGATAAGACACGATTTGTGAACAGCCCCTAAGGCCACCATCATTTGTGCAGTCTCCAGGGCCCGGTTTTTCAAAAGTAATCCACTAGGATTTTGGATAAGGGATTGGATCAAATCTTGAAAATGGATTTTTCAAAAGAAAAAACGGATTACATAATCGGATTAGATCACGTAATCCAATCTTGGTTTTGATCCGGATCAAACCTTTAGTTTGGGTTTTTCACAATCCGGATCACTTTGATCCAAAAAACCTGGATTAAACTGATCCCATCAGAAGGGTGGATTTAGCGTGGATTAGCTTACCCAATTCACCTGTACCGCATGTCTTTGGACTGTGGGGGAAACCGGAGCACCCAGAGGAAACCCACGCGAACGCAGTGAGAACATGCAAACTCCACACAGAAACACCAACTGAGCCACTGCGTCGCCATGATTGGATTCGTCACGGTTAATTAATTGTAAAGGCTTCTTAACACGGCATTTATGCACAGAACAAAACTGCAGCAACTAAACAAAGTTATGGCAACTGTGTGCTAGTTTGTACACCAAGATAATAACCATGCACACTGGACTAACTTTGACTGGGGATTTTAACTAAGGCAAGCTCATCAAGGTTCATTATTTCCAATGGAGGGACGCACATGCAACACAACACAATTGCGCTTTTCAGGCTCACCTAGATAAGATGACGGCTTTTCTAAACGCAGTAATTGCTAACGGTTTGAGGAAGATGCAATTGAAAGTACACAGGTTTGCAAACTCATTTAAAGTTACAAATAATGGCGCTAATGAGAGCGATCATGTGGCGAATGCCAGCCGAGATCAACCGAGTGTTTTCGGAGAGAGTGCTCAAAGACTTGAGCCTGTTTCACATCACAAGCATGAGCAGAGCGTGTTTTTTTGTCATCCATGTTAACAGAGTAGAGTATAGTTTCACCATTGGGTCTATTATGACTAAAAGCACATTGAATTGGCAATTTTACCCAATAAATGCATCAATAATATCCACTGACTTATACATTCATTCGAATAAACTTAAACGATTAAAACGGCAACAAATATTCAGTTGGAACTAAGCTGAAAAGAAAATGAATGAATGAATGAAGGATGTTAATCTATTATATGCATTCACTTAGAAAAAACCTATGCTAGAGCAGTTGGTGGTTCAGTCCCCTGTGGCAACCTGTGATTAATGCGAGACTAAGCTGAAGGAAAATGAATGAATGAATCTGTCTTAAACATGCTCCTTTCTTATGCTTGCCTGTCCTTTTTATTTATTAATGTGGCAGTGCTTGTGTCCCATATTGTCTGTTTCACTTCACATCACTGTTTTGTTTTTGTTTGTTTGCGTCTGCTCTTCTGTAGCTGCTGGCTCCAGTGTGTCATCAGTTGTTTGAGTTGTACCGGAGCTCAGAGGAGGGTTTGCGGCGCTTCACACTGCAGTTCCTGCCTGAACTCATCTGGGTGTACTTGAGTCATTCAGCCAGCAGAGAGCGATACCGCAATGGCTGTGTGGAGGCCCTGCTGTTGGGGATCTATAACCTGGTGAGAGAACGATGACGGTACTTGCGTTAGCTTTCATTTCCTGAAAAACATGTCTTTTAATTGACATGCGCATTGTGTATGCCTTGTGCTGCAGGAAATTGTGGACGGTAAAGGATATAGCAAGCTGCTGTCATTCACCATCCCTTCCCTTTCCAAGCCTTCAATATACCATGAGGTATGAAGAAACATACAAACACCCTTTAATCTCATCTTTATTGGATGTCAGAGATACTGGGGATATCAGAATGTTCTGGTTTTGTTATGTTACAGTATTATTTATTAGAAAGTTATGTAATGTAGAATTTTTTATTTTTTTTTGGTGTTCTTAGATATAATAAACATTAGTGGTGCTCGTGGAAAACAGGTTAGACTTTTCTATCTGTAGCAAGGACCCAGTCTAAGCAAAGGGGGATCGGCTTTCACTGTTATCGCCCCAAAATGCTGGCACAAGCATTAGACATGCTCCAACTTTACTTTGTTTTATTTTATTTTAATTTTATTTTTACATTTTTCAGAATGAGTTGTATACACAGCACTGAGTTGAACATAAAGTATTTGTAAGGGAAAAAACGGACATTCCTAAAGACAATGAAAGTACGTTCCGATACTATTATTGCATTTTGGACATTTAGGTGAAACTATTATTTTTGTTTGGGAATATATAAGCAGTACAATATTAAATTGCATTTCTTTAAATCTGTTGCAGACTAAAACATTCAAGTGTAGTCAGATAATATCATCCCACACGTTTTCATCAATGTCGCATTTTCAGTTCTTACTCCATCTTCTGCAATGAAATCAGATTGCCTGCTTTATACTGGTTTATCATGGAGTAAAACTTAAATATAAAGTGCTTAACTTCACTATTCTTAAGAATAAACTGATCCAAAAAGAAATCAGAGCTATTCAAGGTAAGACTGCCGTGTCTAGTATGAACAAAATTATCTTGTTTTCTCTGCAGATATTTAAAGATCTTTTTTAGGCATATTATGCTTTAAATGTAACTCCTCAAATGAAATCATATTATTATGGAAGAGATCATATATCCTGGATATTCTCAAATTAATCCAGCTATTAAATTGAGAGCCCATAAAAATATGGTAAACCTTTCTGTTACTGGTCATTGTGGATAGAATGGGCAGATTTTGATTGTACTTGGGAAATATTCTGATCTGCAACCATGTTTTGATAGCTCTGACAATGAGTGTTTTTTTTTTTTTACCTTGTCAGGAATTGGGTTTTCTGGTCAAGTAAACTGGGTTACAAAACTCTTGTTCAATATCCACCCACAGAGCATCTTCAGATTTACGTTCCCAGTCTAGAAAGATTCTAGCCTGTATTACCCATACAGTATATAATATTTAAACTTGTTTTTAAAAACCTTCTGAAGTTTCATATTTGTCCTTGAGCATTTGAGCCTTTGTAATGTTGAGGGCTTTGACCTATGTTTTAGTTGTTACGTATGTGTTGTGTGATTTTAATTAGTATTGATTGTGTTCAGCACTTTGGGCAACGTTGTGTTGTAAAAGTGTGCTTTTTAAATAAACTGCTACTACTAGATTGCTAAGATTTCCTGGATTTTCTGGAAGTTGATTAGTTATTAGATGGTTTTTAAGGTGCACTAAGTGAATTTTGCTAAACAATGTTAATATTTAAAACAATCATGTGCCTTCCCCAACATGTCCCCAACATGACCTTTTTTCAATCTCTTTTTTTTTTTTTTTTTCAAAATGCAATTTCAAAATGCGCCTTTAATCCAGCTCTTGGGTTATGCTAAAAATATGAGGACGACTGTTATGATTGAAACGCATTATATTTCAGTTGTTTCACATGTACTTACTTATCATAGTCATTACATGAACTTGGACAAAATAACTAGGTACTATCTCTTAACCTAACCTTAACCCATGAATTACCCTAAATAACCCATTTATTTTTTAAGTAAGTTCATTTTACTGTAAGTACAGAGTAAGTACATATACTTTATAATATGGCATAAGGTCAAGTATATATTTTTGCCATATATTTTCACTAAATCATTGAGTGTGTGTATATGTTTCCCAGTACCAGGTTGCAGCTGGAAGGGCATCCGCTGTGTAAAACATATTCTAGATAAGTTGGCTGTTCATTCCACTGTGGCGTCCCTTGATGAATAAAGGGACTAAGCCGAAGTAAAATGAATGAATGAATTTTCACTCAATACAAAAATCTAATTAAAAAAAGAAAAAAACAGTTAAAGGGGTAGTTCATCCTAAAGTGAAAATTCTGTCATTATTTGCTTAACCTCATGTTGTCCCGTTCACCTAATACTTTTATCTATGGAAGACAATGAAAGATATTTCAATTCAAGTCTGAATTTGAAGTCTTAAATCGCAAGTCTTCAAAAATGAGGGGTAGGTTTGGGACAGGGGTGTCCAAACTCTGTCCTGGAGGGCTGATGTCCTGCAAAGTTTTGTTCCAACCCCAATCAGACACAGCTGGGCTAGCTAATCAATAGGGCTAGCTGGACTAGCTAATCTTATTAGGCTTTCTGGAAACATCCATGCAGGCATGATTAGGCAAGTTGGAGCTAAAATCTGCAGGACACTGGCACTCCAGGATTGAGTTTGGACACCCCTGGGTTTAGGGTTATTGAAATCTTCAGTTGAATACATTTCGGCTGATCTGTCATGATAATCTTGACATCTTAAACACTAGTACTTTAGATATTCTTTAGATGGCAATATAACACTAAAATAACAAAATATATTTCAAAATATACTTCAAATCTGCTTTTTAATAATGAATTAAATGGGTCAAATTAAATAGCCAATTGAAAATGTAAGCTGTTAAAAACCATCGGTTAACTACAAACTATCTTTACAGGAAATTAAAAAGGTATCTTTTCTGTTTTGTTTTGTTTTTTCCTCAAAAGTGTTTTTATTGCTCATGTTAGATATGAAACATGTAGTACACATAGCTTTTTCTTTTTTCTCACACAACAAACAAACAAAACATGTCGTGCACACATACATTTAGGTTCTATAAGAATAAATGAATGATATTAAAATTAAATACAAATAAATATTAATAGGATATTTTACTCGTCTATATAAAAGTAAAAAGAAAATAATAAAAAATAAAGGTTCTTCTCCTAAATTAACGGAAGTCTCCATCTTCTTTATGTGATCTAAAACAAATTGCCAAGTGACAATCTATGATCCGTACAACCTCTTACAGTATATCATATTTTTTCAGGTCAGGTGGTGTAGAAGTTCCATAAGCCATTGCTTAAAGGTTGGAGGAAATTTTTCCTTCCATTTAAGCAATATTAACATTTTAGCTAAAAGCATGGCAAATGCAATCACATTTATCTTACTTTTATTAAAACATAAGGACTGTGGTGTGAGGACAAATATTGGAATCATGACCTCCGTTTCTATAGAAGAATTTAATGCATCAGAGAGAACTTTAAATTTTAGCTGACAGAAAACTTGTATGTTTTGGGCTTGTTCAATATAAGAGATAGTGTAGCTGGCTCAATATTAACTCTGTCACAATTAGGCTCTATATTCGGTTTAATTTAGCTAGTTTCGCTTTGGACCAATGAATAGCAATCTGTGTAGAAAAGGGAATCTTATCTAACGAGATAAATTGATTTGCAACATACATAAGAGCTGGTTTGATATACTCTCCTATTTTTACCAAGCTGATATTTTTCTTGGAGGCCATCTATAAAGTACCCAAAATCCCTCTGAAACTACCCAACAGACCACAAAAACTAGCATAGATGGATTTTAGCAGGATCTGACTCTTATTCACATACTCCGTCAATGAAAACATGACCTCGAGTGAAATCATATTGTGATTTCAAAATTTTGTGAATTGTTATTCATTGTTGTCAATTGTACTACTGCATGAATATTCAATCCTTGGTGGACCTCAAATTAATGAATAAATCCAAATGCTTTTTATGCTACAATGTAGCCATCCAGCCTGGGGTCCATGGCGCTGACTGAAGGAGCCCTGAACCAACATGACCTCATTCGGGTGGTGTACAGCGGTCTGCTGTCTCAGCGAGAGACTTTCACCTCACAGAACAGGTACGCTGCTTGTCAAACTGTGTTTTTTTTAGTACCCCTTCCTTGTGAATATTTCTAGGCGTTTGATTAATCGCACGCTGGACCACTTTATTATGGTGACTCAGCTGCTGCTACTTCCTGCAGATTGAAACGGGCTGTAATGATATCTCAGCATTTTTATTTCATTAAGCCAGTGCTGGAGCTTTATGACAGCAGGATCTGTGCAGAAGTAGTGTGATTTGTTATTACCCGTTCCAGTGTTAGATACACAGCGACAGTCGCTGACTCATAATGTACCGCTGTCTGATTTGTCGATGTAAAACTATGCAGATGTCAGAGGGGTTTTGTGTAACAGCAGTGAGTGTGTGTGTGTGCGTGTGTGTGTGTGTGTTTGCAGGTTTGAGGTGCTGTCATTTCTAATGCTCTGCTACAACTCAGCCGTGGTCTTCATGCCTGCGTCGTCCCACCAATCGGCTTGCAGAATGAGCACACGGTAAGGAGAGTGCACAAATTATCTTTTCGGCTAATGATCCAGGAACATTTCAGCCTGTCTGTTTCTCTTCCTCTAAAGTTTATTGACTGGATTGAATGTATAAATGGATGACTAGGGTAACCCCAACCCATCAATTAAAATAATGCCTGTTCCTCTAGTACAGGGGTGGCCAACCCTGTTCCTGGAGAGCCACCTTCCTGCAGATTTCAGTTGCTACCCATATCAAACACACCTGAACCAATTAATTAGGACCTGAACACCACGTGATAATTTCAGGCAGGTGTGTTTGATATAGGTAGCAACTGAAATCTGCAGGAAGGTGGCTCTCCAGGAACAAGGTTGGCCGCCCCTGCTCTTGTAAAATCATATCAAATGTTTTCCATTCATATTGATGAGGCTGTAATGACACTGAGGTTTCTTCACTGACGTAAATTTTCAATAATCAGGGTGAACACATATAAACTGTTTTTTTTTTTGTTTTTTGTTTTTTTTGGGAAATTTTATGTTTTTTATTTGTATTTATTTAATATAACATTTAATAATTTAATATAATATTTATGAATAAACTGCAATTAAAATTAAATGAAAGCTTCGTCAAAACAAAGAGCATACACCTCAGGAAAAGAGACTAAGTACTGGAGACAATGTGGGTTTCAGGAACCTAGTCAAAGGCACATTTTTTTGGGAATGTCCTGTAATAAAACAATTTTGGGTGGTTGTACTTAGAGTAATAATAAACATACTTAATTTTAAACTACCCTTTCAATTCATGGGTATTTATTTTGGAAGCTTTGGTATCCAAATAAATAAATCTGAAAAACACTTACTTAATATTTTAATAATCACAGCCAATAAAGCAATTACAAGACACTGGTTACATTACGAGTCCACAACAATCCAAGTATGGCTAGAAATAGTATATGATATTAATGTGAAGGAAAAAAATTACATTCTTCCTTTTCTATAATTAACCTATTTAGAAATATCTGGTCCAAGTGGACTGAATACATTAGGTAGCTTCATCCAATCTTTGTCGAAATATAAAAATATTACTACCTAATTCCCATCTACAGAACAAACATTTTTCAATTTACGACACATTGCACTCCTCTCTTAATCCTCTCTTTAGAGTAGGAATTTACAGAATAATAACAAAATTTGAGCGAATAAATAAAGAAACATTGTTATTTAGATATGATTTATGTTACCATTTTATTGTTACTGTTATTTTCACATATTTTATTAAACTTTTGTTTTGTATTGTGTTCTGTTACTTTATACTCTGTATAAAAGAAAAATGTTTAGCAGTGGGAAATGTACACTCTCTTAAGTGAAATCATTGTACTATAAATAAAAAATAAATAAAATGTAATGAAAGCTCTCCCTATATTGAACACTAATGTTTGTAATTGAAGCTAATTTGCAGCACAAAAACTTAAATTACTATATATTACAAAAACTGACTACAGGTTTGTTGATTTATTAATATCAACCAAGATTTATATTTAGTGGCTTTAAAAACAATGATCACAACTTGCAATAGATTTTAAGTAGTCCAGCAATGAATTTCCAAGTTTAAGTGAGAGAACAGTGATGTTTTGCAATGTATAACCCTCTGTTTCAACTGTGTTTAGTGTATCAACTTTATTAAATAACAATAATATTTGGCTCCATATTTAACTACTCTTAAAAAAAAAAACGACATTTCTGAGTGCTAATTGTAGTATTCTGTTATGCTAAATAGCCTAATAAATAGTAGCCATCCTCTGGGTGCTCCAAGTTCTCCCACACTCCAAAGACATGCGATATAGGTGAATTGAGTAAAGTAAATTGTGTGTGTGTGTGTTTTTGTTTGTAAATCTTGTGTGTGTGTGTGTGTGTGTTTGTGTGTTGCGTGTGCGTGTGCGTGTGTGTGTAATTGATTTAAATTGCAATAAGATTAAACAGACAAAAAAACAGAGCAATGCATGCTGTGGGTGAGTCATGCATTCTCAGACGCTCTCTTAGCTGGCTGGTAAGAACTGTGTGCTTCGTGCCTTTGAGCAAGTGGTACAGTATAGGGTCT